TTTTTGAATTTCAGTTGTGGAATTCAAAATGTGGATCACAAGTAACCTCAATGATATTTATGAGAAAGTTGAAAACCAACACAAAGAAATAACAACAAAAAAATATAATTCAGGACATGAATGAAAAATTCACTAAAGAGATTGCTTAAAAAAATAACAGAACTTCTGGAAATGAAAGGGTCATTTAGGAAATTTCAAAATAACAGTGGAAAAGTTTTTTAACAACTAACTAAACAAGTAGAAAAAAGAATGTCAGAGCTTGAAGATGACCCAGTCAGTCAAAAATAAAGAAAAAATTAAAAGTCTCAGAGAAATATGGAATTATGTAAAACGCCCTAATATGAGAATCATAGATATTCCTCAGAAAGAAAAAGAAAAACCATAAAAAACCTATTTGATTGAATAATGGAGGAAAACTTCTCTGATTTTACTAGAAATTTATAAAAAAGAAAAAAGAAAACTGAAAAGACCTTTCAGTTATAAAAAAGGTCAATGAATTCCTGGGAGATTCATAGCAAATAGGATACCACCAAGGCAATAGTTTGGCCAAAGTCAAAGGGAAGGAGAAAATCCTACAAGCTGCAAAACAAAAGCATCAAGACATAGCAGTCCTAACATTTAAGGCCCCAGATTCACAAAACAAATACTACTAGACCTAAAGAAATAAAATACACAGCAACATAACAATAATGGGGGACTTTCATATTTCATAGACAGAATTAGACAGATCATTGAGACATAAAATCAATAAAGAAGCAGTTAACTACACAGGATTCTAGACTAAATAGGATAACAAACCTTTATAGAACATTCTACCCCAAGAACATACTGCAGACTGTACTTTCTTCTCATCAGATCATGGAACATTTTCTAAGACAGAACATAGGTTAGGACACAAGACAAGTCTGAGCAAATTTTTAAAAATCATTGTCATACCATATATCTTTTCAGACCACAGTAGTATAAAACTGGAAATCAATTCCAAGAGGAAGTCTCAAAACTATACAAATTTGTGGAAATTAAACAACCTGACCTTTAGGTCAATAACAAAATCAAGATGGAAATCAAAAAATATTTTGAATTTAATGACTGGTGACATGAGATATTAAAATCTCTCAGATACAGGGAAAGCAGTGCTAAAAGGGAAGTTCATAGCACTAAATGCCTACTTCAAAAGGACAGAAAAGTTACAAATTAACAACCCAATGTCACACCTCAGGAAACTGAAAAAAAAAAAAAAAAAAACAAAGTTAATAGAAGACCATAGATAACGAAAATCAGAGCAGAACTAGATGAAATTCAAAAAAAAAAAAAAAAAGGAAGAGGATTTCAATAAGTTTAATCAGAAAAGAAAAAGGAGAAAGACTGCCTGAGACTACAACAAACACCTCAAAGCGCATAAACTAGAAAATCTACAGGTAATGGGGACATTTTTAGAAACACAAACCCTCCCAAGCTTGAATCATAAAGAACTAGAAATCCTACACAAACCAATATGTGTAATGGGACTGAATCAACAATAATTTAAAAAAAGATCTCCCAACAAAAAATTTCCAGGACCAGTCAGATAGTCAAAGCAATCCTAAACAAACAAAAATGCAGACAAATGAAACTGGATTCCCATCTCTCCCCGTACACAAAAATTAACTCAATACAACTCTTAGCAGTGGATCACTTAAAAAAAAAAAAATTAACTCAAGATGGGTTAAAGTCTTAAATGGAAGACCTGACACCATAAAAATTATAGATGAAAACTTAGGAAAAATTCTTCTGGACATTGACCTAGGCAAAGAATTTATGACTAAGGCACCAAAAGCAAATACAACAAAATAAAAAATAAATAAGTGGGATTTAATTAAACCAAAAAGTTTTCTGAACAAAAAAAGAAATAATCAACACAGTAAATGAACAACCTACAGGATGGGAGGAAATATTCATAAACTATACAATGGACAACAGACTAATATCCAGCATCTACAAGGAACTCAAACAAATTGGCAAGGAAAAAAAAACAAACAACCCCATTAAAAAGTGGGCTAAAGACATGAAGAGACATTTTTCAAAAGATATACAAATGGCAAAATAAAACATGAAAAAATGCTTAACATCACTAGCCATCAGGGAAATGCCAATTAAATTAAAACAACAGTGAGATACCATCTTGCTCTTGTCACAATAGCCACTGTTAAAAAGGGAGCACTTGAACATTGTTGGTGGGAATGTAAATTTGTACATCCTCTATGGAAAATAGTATGAAGATTCCTCAAAGAACTAAAAGTAGACCTACTATTTGATCCAACAATCCCACAACTGGGTATCTACTCGAAGAGAAATGAAGTCATTCATCAAAAAGATATAGACACTTACATGTTTATAGCAGCACAATTCACAATTGCAAAGATACAGAATCAACCCAGGTGCTCATTAATTGATGAGTGAATGAAGAAAATGAGGTGTATATGTGTGCCATGGAATACTACACATAAAGAAGACTGAAATAATGCATTTTTCGGCAACTTGGATGGAACATTATCCTAAGTGAAGTATCTCAGGAATGGAAAAATATACACTACATGACAAAACATCACTCATAACCAGGAGCTGAATGACGGGTATACATGGTCGTACACAGAGGTATAAGGGACTCTGGAGACTCAGGAGTGGGGTGGGTAGGAGGAGGGAAACTCAGAAGTGGGGTGGGTAGGAGGAGGGAGACTCAGAAGTGGGGTGGGTAGGAGGAGGGTGAAGGATCAATTACCTTGGGTATAATGTACACTATTTGTGTGATGGATACACTAAAAGCCCTGACTTCATCACTATATAACTCATTCAAGTATCAAAAAACCACTTATACCCCCTAAATCTATTGAAATAAGTAAAAACAATAATACTGAATTAAAAAAATAAATGAAGAAAGAGCAGCCAGTCCTATTTAGAAAAGTAATTCTCAACTCTCGGTGTGCATTAAAATCAACTGAGGAGCTTCTAAAAACAAACGGATGCCTCTTCCATTTCCCTTCTACTTTGTAAATGGTAATAATCACAGCTGCTATTGATTAAGGGTATCCTTTATGCCAGGCTTCGGCCTTCACTCTTTACATAACTTGTCACTTTGGCCTGTCACAACCAACCTCCCTATTTTACGGAACTGCAGGTGAGAGTCAGAGAGATGAACAACAGGAGGAAGGTGAATCCCTTAGCTAAAAGGAGCTGGTTGGAAATTGTTTTCTTGACAAATGACTATCACTAGGGCAACAAGAGTTACCAGAGGAAGAGGCCCACCCACCCTTCCTCCCTGGTCTGCAGTTAGCCACACACAGCATTCAAGGGCTGGCCATACTGACAGCCACGTGGGACTCTGACATCTCCTCATTTCTGGAAAACCATTTGTTTTGCTTCCTACAACTTAGTCCAGAATACCATGGACAGAAACAAAATGAATGCAGAGGTTTGTGGATTTTCAAACAAATTTCTCTGGCTTCCTTTCTAGGAAGGAGTGACACAGAACTATCATGAGCGAGAGCACTCCAAACTCTAAGCTCTCTACACAGCAAAACACAACTGTTTTATGAGCACGGCTTACAAAGCACGCAAAAGACATCTGATAAAATACACTTTTATTAAAAATTTTTCAGCAGCATCATTTCCATTGCTTTTCTAATCAAAGTACATTTCAAAGCAATTACAATAGGCACTCAAAATATGAGCAAAAAATATTTAGAGAATTCAGGAATAAAATAATCAGTAGTACATGGTTCATTCATTCATCCATCCATTCATTCATTCATTGTTCAGCGAATGTGCAATATTAGCACAGAGAACCAGGAATGCTACTCGGTATGGAAATTGTATATTCCTGCCATGATTCCTGTGTGGAGACTACAGCAACTGCTCAAGAGAAGAGCTGGGCTGTACAGTACATTCTGATATAAATGTACACATTTAGCCCAAGGACCTAAAAATAGGCTCAATAAGAATAATTTCCCTTTCGTGTTCAACTTAGGAAATAAATAATCATTATAATGATATTTTCACACATAGAAACAAAAACCCAGTTGAGGCTTTGCTCAATTGGTATTTGTTTTGCACCTTACTTTATGAGGACACAGATTTGGTTTAAGTAATTTAACTAAGGACAGCCAGTTACTAGGGTAGGTGACCGCCTGAGATGCCAGGTAAGGGTGGAAATTGCTCTAGGGTCCTTCAAAAGAAAGAGATGATTTGATTAAATACAAACTCTACACAGGACACTTGTACTAAATGACATGGGATTTCCTCAGAGATGTTACCGATACAAATATTGACTCGGCAGCTAGTGAGGGAACACAAGTGAAGTGGAACACTCTGGTTAGACAACACAAACGTGCAGAAAGGTGAGACTGAACTGCACTTTCTACCTCCGGTACTGCCTGAGGTGTCTACAGTCAAAGCAACATATCTCTCCAACACACAGTGGCCTCTATCAGTAAACCTAGTAATCAACTTGACGTATAATATTGAACATTAGTAAGTGCTGATGGTAAAAATGGGCCCAATAGTGGGGCCTGGATTCCTTTCCTGCATAACTTCATAGAAAATATGCGTGGTGCCTCTTTTTTAGACAAGGCTAAAGGCCCCGAGTCAATTCCTTTCCTCATTAGATCATTTACTGTAATGCTCACCGACCAATGCAGTAGGTACTTTTATTCACAAATTCAGTAATGTGCTAATCTTTCCAAAATTTACAAATGTACAATTATATTTATAGCATTACCTCCAGACAGTTTCAGTGCAATGATATACATATAGTACATTGTGATAATCGTTTGTAAAAATATGAGATGGCATAAGTAAAAAAAAAAAAAAAAAAAAAAAAGGCACACAAGACAGTTCCAACTCTAGGCAAACAGGGAAAAAATATATATATATTTTTATAACGTATTAAATGTTAACTTTCATCTGTTTGTAAAAATATATGTGCAAAAGTATGTTTCCAATTATTCCCTAAATCACTGGCATAGCTATGCCTCAGAGTCTTCTTTAACGAGATTTGCGGTGTCTTTAAAAGTGTCTTCTGTTGGAGTATAGGTTGGAGTTGGGTCTCTTTTTGAAGAAATCTTAGGAGGGGGAGAAGGTGATGGAGGTGGGGTTGTGGCAACACTTTCCCTTGGCATGTTCTCCATCTAGAACCACAACAAAACAGAAATCAGCCATTTATTCCCTCCACGTGACTAGAAAGAGTTTTTCATGAAGTAGACTAATGGTGGTTAATCTGCTCAGAAAAATCTAAGTGTATGTCCAATCTAACTAGGCAAATTACGCCCAAGAAAGAATGGCTGTGTCAAGAAAAATCATTACAAATTACCTCTGCATAGATTGGATTTTCAAAGTTGGTAGTTTGTTTAGGTTTTCGTTTGAAGATATTCCATTTTGTCACCTAAATAAAAAGGGGAAAATAAAAAGCTTTCGGTCATGGCATGTTTTTTGACAGTTTCTTTCCCTCTGTGTTATATTTATTTATTTATTTTTGTTGAGACAGAGTCTTACTATGTTGCCCTTGGTACTTACTATGTTGCCCTTGGTAGAGTGTTGTAGCATCAGCTCACAGCAACCTCCAACTCTTAGGCTTAAGCGATTCTCTTGCCTCAGCCTCCCAAACAGCTGGGACTACAGGCGCCCAGCACAATGCCTGGCTATTTTTTGCTGCAGTTGTCATTGTTGTTTTTAGCTGGCCCAGACTGGGTTTGAATCTGCCACCCTTGATGTATGTGGCTGGAGCCTTAACTACTGTGCTATGGGCGCCGTGCCTCCCCCTGTGTTTTAAAGTTTCTTCTCACTAAAGAACAAAGCAATTTGGGACCTGGGACCATATGATTTGGCCCATGTTGTAAACATGGACAAATAACTGAAACTCTCTGGGCTCTTTTTACCTAATAATTTCAAAATATTTCCTTGGTTTGGAATTTATAGTTTGCAGAATTGGTGCCACAGTATCTACAAGCTTTGACAAACAGATCACTCTGACAACTTCAGTACCAAGAGAACAAATAAAACAAGATGCATCTGTAGAAAAAGAAGTTTCTAGGGCTGCCAAAAATTGTGAGGAAAAGTCAAATTAGTAACTCTTATTTTCTAAAGTAATGTCTTAACCTTCGGTCAACTCAGGAGTATCCCTTCTTCCTCCATCACTTCTTCCTATAATCACAATAATAACAAAAACAACTAACATTTATTGCGTGCTTACTCTGCATCAGGGATTATTCCAAGAGTATTGCAAGTTTCTGATTACAAATTTTTAACAGCCCTTTGAGGTAGGTACAATTGTTATGCCTATTTTACAGATGCTGAGTCCCATGCAGATTTGCAGGTGGAAGACCAGGCAATGATTACTGAGGGGACTCCCCAGCTCTCATTACTGGGAAGTTGCTTGCAGTCCTGGTCACAGGTTTGGCTGACAGATAAAACCTGGCAGAAGGGAACAGACAACTTCCCCCAACAGGGAGCTGAGGTAGCCCCCATGTTTTACAGAGTGTCTCTCACTCTGTGAAAATAGGGGACCAACCAGTGAAGGAGTGGGGAGCACATAACTATAGAAGTTGTTCACTCTGGCCCACATCTAAGTGAGTGCCTACCCTGTACATGGTGTCACCAAGGGGACGAGGACAGTTTCAGGTCAGAGCCCTGCCAGTTGAGTGGGACAGGCTGAAAGTCTTCAGTATGGAATGGCTGCTTGGAGTTAAGCAATTACTCAGAAGAGAAATGGTGTGGTGATTCAGTTTTGTCTCCTTGGGAGATCCCATGTATGTCAGTGCAACTTTTGGGAAGAAGAGTTTTGTTTCTTTACTTCACAAACGTGGTCACAGCATCTTAGAATGCAGACATTCCAGGTCCTTGTGTTCTCCACTGGAAGTACACATATGCATGTTGGGGTTTGGGGTGATTCCTGAGCCCACTTTGAATCGAGGGAGACATGATCAGAAGTTAGCGGACAGGGGCCAGGAATACTGGAATCCCTGGTAGCACAGGGATTGTGCTGCAGAACTGCCCTACCCAGTGTGCCAATATCACCCCCAGTGAGGAACAGCATTGAGGACTTCAGCATTCAGAGGTCAAACATGTATCCATTAAAACTAGTGAAATATTTACATCAGATATATTTCTCTTTGCAGACCAAATAGTCCACAGAGTGCAAGAGGCCTGCAGGCATGGCAGAGAAGCTCCATCCAATGGTCTGTTGTTCTTTAATCTCCAGTATTAAATGCCATGCTTGGCACTTTGAGGGCAATAACGTTGGTTAAACAATTGGTTGGACAATTAGATGGATGATGAATGGACAGATAGATGGATAAAGGCAATGTAAATTAAGGGCATCTAGTGGCAAACATAGGTAAACACTATGAACAATATAACGTTATTAAAGGAATAAAGATGCACAGTGTAGAAAAATGGCATCACACATAAAGAGACTTTTATATTTGTCTCTGACACACTGAGTTCTTTCTTTATACTAAGCCAGTATCTCATATTAAATGTCCCTGGTTTGAAGATACTGAATCCAGAAGTCTGTTTGCTCCTCTTTGAGACACAGTCTCCCACGTCACAAGGAACATTATTCCCAATGCAATGTCAGAATGTAGCTTTACTGGGTAGAAAATTTCTCAATTTATGATTTCCTTTAAAAATTATCTTCATTGAGGCTAGGGTGCAGTGGCTCAAGCCTATAATCCTAGCACTCTGGGATGCCGAGGCACATGGATCACCTAAGCTCAGGAGTTCAAGACTGGCCCCAGTAAGAGCGAAACTCCATCTCTAAAACATATGCTGGGCATTGTGGTGGGTACCTGTAGTCCCAGCTACTTGGGAGGCAGAGGCAAGAGGATCACTTAAGCCTAAGACTTTAAGGTTGCTGTCAGCTATGACACCATGGCACACTACCAAGGGTGTCAAAGTGACACTCTGTCTCAAAAAAAAAAAAAAAATTCTGATTGGCCAGGTGTAGTGGCTCACACCTATAATCCTGGACCAAGTTGGGTGGACTGCTTGAGCTCATGAGTTGGACACCAGCCTGAGCAAGAGGTAGACCCCCGACTCTACTAAAAATAAAAAAACTAGCTGGGTGCCTGTAGTCCCAGCTACATGGGAGGTTGAGGCAAAAACTCCTGGGATCACTTGAGCCCAGGAGTTTGAGGTTGCTGTGAGCTATGATGCCACAGAACTCTACTCCAACCTGGGCAACTGAATGAGACTCTGTCTAAAAAAAAAAAAAAAAAAAATTATCTGCCCACATATCATGGGATCTATCAGCTTGTGGGGTCTCCCCAGTTTGTTTAGCAGTAATGACAACCCAGCCATTCTAAAGTTCTTTACAAATCTCACATCATTTCAGCAGTCAGTAACTATTACCTGAGTTTCATCAGCACCCGGAGAAGTTGGCTTTATCTCTGGAACTATCTCAGAAGGGCTTATGGGACTTCCATAATTCATATTATCCACATTTCTAGATACAGTCACCTGTGGACACATTGAAGGCCCTTATGCAGTTTTGAAAGAATTCAGTGATAAACAGATGTGCTATCAAGTTTGTTATCACTCTTTATTTCTTCTCACTACCTTGTTCTCCCCCAGGAGACACAGTCAGGTGCCATTTTTCCTATGAAACTGACCCAGTAGGCCAGGACCAAACACCACTCCCACCTCCCCCAACCCCAGAGCACCAGCCATTAAGTCATCTCATGCCTTCATCCCGGGAAGCAAACACATCCCTCACTGGTCACACTTGTACCTTTACTCCTACTGTTAAACATATAAAAAATATTCTGGGAGCTAAGTCCTAGAATAACAGCATGAATAATTCTCCGAACTCACTGGTGAACTAAGAATCCTATCTTTAGATCTTAATAATTTCTTTGGATATTAATAAATCATATCTTTAGAACTTAAAAATTTTACAAGACTGATAAAAAGAGGTTAAATTTTTGAAACAACAGGTATAATAGAATATTCCTCTATGCATTTTTCTATGACATTCGTATAATTCTAAGGTTCCCTCTTAAGCTCAAATTACCATGAATATATAATAATTTACAAGGCAGATTAATTCACTCCTTTTCCTAAATTTTCATAATCACCATTTTATTTCTTCTCAAACGTCTATGTTTATTTGTATAGTTGGCTTCATTTTATTTCAAGTGAAAATGCTAAAGGAAATGGCATATCTGTTTCATCATGTTAAGTTTTGCTACCCACTTATCAAAGGATCAGGCAAAATGCTTTCAAGATTCAAGCATCTCCAATCTTAAGAAAGCTATTTCAAAAATAAACATTTCTATTTTATATATTAAAATCTGCCATATCTTGAGCTTAAAAGAAGTTTAGTTGTTTTGAAAATTATTCATTGCCGCTGATGCTATTGATGTTTTGACAACAGAGACAGGTTCTCCGTGGACAAGTACTGAGAGTGGCGGAGGGCTATTGATGTAGACCTGATAAAAAGTTCTTTCCCTCCATCCATGTTTCTGTTTCATGTCCCATTTCCTCTTAAAGATGACTAACAGGGCAGCACCATAGGAAATTTAAATATCTGCTCATCAACTTTGGGGTACTTTTGAGAAAAGTAGGGGGAAAAAGCAGCATACAAGGTCCCTAAGCCCTTTAACCCATCTCAAATCACATGCCTGTGTTACAGTAAGAACCAGGGAATAGACCCAGTCTCCCAAATACCTGTATCAACCTGACAATCCTGCACTCCCTCATATCCTGTGGTGTGTCATGCACCGTGCTTACCAAGCCTCTGAATGGACTCAGTTCTCTCCCTCTGACACCATTCAAAATGAAAAAGGCTGTTGGTATAGCTGCCAAACCTCAGCAACTGTGCACCAGTACAGGATTCTGATTGTTTTGAAGGCTTATGTCCTCAGGTCATACTCTTACTGCAGAGAGTGCAGCTGAGGCCTGGACCACTCACTGCACTTCCTTCCATTTGGAGGGAAGGTTAAGAGAATCTACGAGAGCATTGCTCAACAGAACAAGATCCAGCACCAAGTAACTGGATGATTTCCCACCTGGGTTGGCTGAACCACTTTGACAGCACTGTCTTTGGTTGCATACATTGGGTTCTCAAATATTATGGGTTCCTTCCCCATTTCCATGACAAAGTCTTCACTCTGATGGGAGGGGAGAGAGAGAGAGAGATCATACCATACCAAACTGGTTCATATACAGAGAAAGGTACCTTCCTCATGTCTGGAAGTATGTCAGGTGCTAGGCCAAAGTTACCCAAAGGGAACTTGCAAGAAAAAAAAAAAAACAATATATATATATATATAGAGAGAGAGAGAGAGAGCGCCAGAACCAGCAAGACACAAGATCTCCATATGGCAGATCATTATTCAAAGTAACATAAATGTACTAATTCATCAACTCAAAGTAATGGAAACATTCTTCCTATATCCACATTCTCTATGGCCCCTTAATATAAATAACTCACTCAGGGTTTGGGTCTAGGTAACAGAGAAAACAGTGGTGGTGGAAGAGGAGCCAGAAGGAGAAGAATAAGGAGAGCAAGAAAGAAGAAAGAATGAATAATACTATTGTACATTCATGTAAGGCCAAAAATGAAAGACTAGGGGAGAGACAAAATATTGAAAGTGGTTTCTCAGTACTGACGATAGAGAGCTCCCTCTGTGCTAAGACTATGCTAGTCCTCTCATAAAATATTTATTTTGATCCTCATAGGAGGTATTTTTGTACCCATTTTACAGATAGGGACAGTGAAGCTCTACAGTTACCTACTTAGTGAGTGACAGAGCTGAGGTTTGAACCAACACTGATTCAAAAATCACAGCTTACTCCATCACTATACATTGATGGGAAAATATATTTTCTTATTCCTTTTGTACATACAAAATGACATCAAATAAAAACAAAATACCATGTTCTTTCCCACACCCCCCAAAACCTGTAAAACTCTTTAAGATTCCAGTTCAAGCTATAACCAAATAGCCTAAGAATATGGGGAGGGGGGAGGGAGAAGGGAGGGGGTAATGGGTGGAGGGAGGGAGTTTGGAGGGATTACTTCTGAGGTTTACCTTATAGGGGTACAGGTGAATCTTTCTAAGAGTAGAATGTGAATGTTTTAAAGCAATAACTGAGAAAATGACATGAAGGCTGTGTTGACCAGTTGATGGAAGTATTTCAGATTGCATGTGAAAACCCCACACTGTACCCCAGAAGTGCATTAATGTACATAGTTACCGTTCAATAAAAAAAAAAAAAAAAGATTCCAGTTCAATTGAAGCCTGTTTATGATTCCAATCTAACTACTGTGGCTTAGAGCTAATGTTTTTAGACACATTTCTGCAACAAACCTAATGTTTCCTAACTTGACGTGGAGACTTTGTTCGGAAAGACCTACTACTATATTTCAATATTCTCTAGGTTAATTTAATTAATAGTTAAAATGATCTCCTTTAAATAATCATTTTGAAATCATACTTACCATTGCCATTGATCTGTCAATAGCAGATTCAGGCCCCAAATCAGATATTCCAATGTCCATGTTAAAATCTGCCCCTGACCTGAAGGTCACTCCATTGCCATTTTCAGAGGGTTTGACAAGACTACTTAAGCTGGAATGAAGTAACCAAAATAGCGTCATTATTTTTTTTTAATGTTTTGCAACAGTTCCTTTCTTTATTTTTTCATTTTTAAATCAAGGTCCTAAGTAAGTTTAAAGATAATTTGTTTTGTTGTTTGTTTGTTTGAGACAGAGTCTCACTCTGTTATCCCAGGCTACACTGCCATAACATCACACCTCACAGCAACCTCAAATTCCAGGGTGTAAGCAATCCTCTTCCTTTAGTCTCCCAAGTAGCTGAGACTATAGGCGTGCACCACAATGCCCAGAATTTTCTATTTTTAGTAGAGATGGGGTTTCATTCTTGCTCAAGCTGGTCTTGAACTCCTGAAATCAAGCAATCTACCCACCTGGGCCTTCAAAAATGCTAGGATTATAGGCGTGAGCCATCCCACCCAGCTAACAATACCCTTTTTCCACATTGCTAAATCTTACTTAAATGAAATGCTCACGTTAAATTTACACATGTCAAACATGGTAGTAAGTTCCCTTAGCTACCTGGACACATTAATGCACAATCCGGAACCCTGAGATCTAAGAGAAAACCAACCCATCAGGCACCTACAGGAATAAAGCCTGGGCTACCACCCAGCCAACTAATTCTACTCCAGTCTGACCTGAGCTCCTGGCAGCAGGCACAACCGTGTGGACTCTAAAATGTCACTGCCACTCAGGCTGCAGAGAAGCACTCAATTAAGAAGTTGAAACTTGAAACGACTGCTTTAAATCCTCACTACTTTTTGTTTCTGAACTGCAGAAAAGGTGAATTGTGTATTGTACTTTTTTAACTTAAAAAGAAAATAAAGTTATTCACATGGGCCACATCACACAGGCTTTGAACATCAATATTACATGTAATGGAACCCACCTTGGCAGCTTGGGCAGAGCAGGCAAAAGAGAGCCGGTTTTCCTGTAGTGGAAAAATCCTACAACTGCCAGACCTCCAATTATGATGATCAAGAGAAGTGTCAATAGCGTGGCCACTGCCGCTTCAAAAAAGGAAGAGAAAGAGGAAAAAAGCAAATATAACGACACCCAAGAGCCAACAAGCCTGGTAGAAGCTGGACGCTAGACCCATGCACTCTTCAAAGAAGAGACTGGGTTACATAGAACCTCACCAACAGCATTCAGTTTAGGGGCCATGAGTATTCCAAATTGCTCATATTCTTCAAACTTACTTGTTCCTGGAGGCACGCCTTTTGAGAAAGCAATTTCACAGTATTTTCCAGTGTAGCCACTCAGACACCTGAAAGGGAAAGGAAAATCATTTTCTAGCTGTCACCTTCTTAGGCTTCTATGCAATTTTCTAAGCAGATCCTGAGGTAGCAAGAGCTTTGATTGAGTAAATTACATGATGAACAGATGCTGTATCCTGCATGACTTTTGTTTTTCTTTTTTTGGAGACAGAATCTCACTCTGTTGTCCCAGGCAAGAGTGCCATGACATCACAGCTCACAGCAACCTCAAACTCCTGGGCTTAAGCAATCTTCTTGCCTCAGTCTCCCACATAGCTGAGACTATAGGCGTGCAACACAATGCTCAGCTTTATCTATATTTCATCTTATTCTACCAAAAGATGATGAGCAGAAAGAACTATGATCTGACTTTAGAAATTCACTTTCAGCGGCGTAGGTGTGGTACCTACAGTGTCAGCCTCGTCGGATAAACCTCTTGATGTCTATCTGTCCAATTTCTCTTCGGAGAGGAAAAATGGTTGTGTTCTTTCCTTCGCTATGCTTTCATTAAATACTTTTTAAAGTCGCCCATTTATCTTGCTCTGTGTTAAGAGTTTTCTTAGTATAATCATCTTTTCTCCAAATTTTGAGCCCAGTCTCTCTCTCCCTTTTTTTTTTCTTTTTGAGACAGAGTCTCACTCTGTCACCTGGGTAGAGTGCCATGGTGTCATAGCTCATAGCAACCTCAAGCTCTCAGATTTCAGGAATCCTTTTATCTCAGCCTCCCAAGTAGCTGGGACTACAGGTGTCCACCACAGCATCCAGCTAGTTTTTCTGTTTTTAGTAGAGTCTGGGTTTGGTTCTTGCTCAGGCTGGTTTTGAACTCCTGAGCTCAAGCAATCCACCTGCTGTAGCCTCCCAAAGTGCTAGGATTATAGGCATGTGCCACATGCCCGGCCTAACCCAGTCTTTCTGCTCATCGTGGGTTCACCCACAGTGCTGTTGTAATTAACAATACCAGGCAAGTAGAAGGATGCTGTTGCCATTTCTCTAAATCCTTACTCCCCAGAGTGTGGTCAGTGACTCTGCAAGCATCATCCAGAGCTTGTGAGAAATGTGTAATCTCTGTGAGTGAGTAGGCATTTGAACCAGAACTGCAAGAGATTCCTGTGTATCACAGTTTGAGAAGCACTGCCTTAGTTCTCTGAGGACTCCCCCAACAGAGGGCAAGCTGGTTAAAATACAAAAACTAGTGAACCGGCAAGGCTCCTGAACTTCTTTTCCTGGCTACTTTAAAAATGACTCAAATTCCCCCCAAAGAGGCAAGACCTACAGGTTGGACCTCGATGTTCATTCAGACTTACTTGCATTTGGGGAGGTCCTTCTCCTCAAAATAGCAATTTCCTCCATACATACACCTGCATGGGGCAGGCATGGGGATAGGAAGTTCGATGGCTGCAGAGAGGGAAAGCCATGCAAGTGTTAGTCAGCCAGACTCAGCAGAGCACCACACACACCTCCCTGGGATGGGGATGGGGGGCAGGCTGGATAGCTAGTTAGTCTCCCTGTCAAAATGATACCTCCCCTTAAGTCAAATGAATTTCCTTGTCAATGACAAGATCTTGGAGAGAAACGTATGTTTAGTGGAAAGAAAGGGGCAATGTGTAGCACCCCTCTCCACCATGGAGGAGTGCTAAACTCCAGAGTATACATCAACAGTTACAAGAACCTGTGGTAAAGGAATTTCAGATGTTCTCATTCTCATTTGAAGTTTCCAGCATTCTCCTCCATAAGCCCAGTGAAAATCAACAGTCTAAAGTAGGTATATCTTCAAACTTCATCTAAAGGCCCCAAAGCATCAATAATTCATCAGCCAAAAGACACAGAGCTGCAGATACACAGATCCTTGATAAGCAGCTAGTGGGAGATCTCAGTTTTTAAGTTCCCCCAAACTGCCCTTGCTCTGGGCCTGCCATCTGGGCCCGGCTTATCACACATGCTCCCTGGGGGTGCCTGATGGGGTGTTCGGAAGTATTTAGCACACATGCATTTTATTTGAGGAGTCTGGATATCCTCCTGACTCAGTCCCTCAATTTGGGGCTTCATTCTAAGTTCATTTTATCAGAGGCATTCCCTGAACACCACCTAAAAGAGCAACTCCACCCAACCCGTCCTCACCCCTCTTCCCCTGCTTTAGTTTCCTCCCACAGTGCCTTCACTGCCTGACCTATTAAATATTTATTGGCATCTCTACTTACTGCTCTATTAGAATATAAGCTCAGTGAGTGTAGGGATTTGTCTGTGTTGTCCCCTCCTGTTATATCCAGCACTTAGAACAGTACCCAGCACATAGTTGGCACTAAGTTATATTAAGTGACCTAATTGGTTAATTAACTAATATGTCAACCCAAGGCACTATATGGAATGATTACTTCATTAGTAGCTTACTTTGGTTAAATCTCTTTTACACAAGAACCTTAATATAAACCACTTGGCAAAAATATTGAGTAAGAGGAAGTAGATGAGGTGACAATTTTGACATCATCTCTCCTACAATGTGAGAGTGCAATGAATGTCAGAATGATCCAGCTACAGCATAGAACAAATCTCAAAAGCTCAAAATCCCAAATTCGTTCAAAATATTGGAATCTTGCCATATTTCCCCAGTAGTGTTGGGGATAAGCGTGGAGACAGGGGAAGGGAGAGGAAGGGAAGCAGTCTTTTTTCTGAGTTCACTCTCTTTTTGAGTCTACTTGTGCCAAGTCAAAGGTAGCGCCTGGTTAAGTGCCTGCTCCCCCTGGTGGTAGAAGGTGGTTAAGCTTCTTCATTTCCCCACCAGCTAAAACTGGGAGAAAGCCCTAAGGGTGTGAGCCGTAACATCTACAGCTAATGAACTTCAGGATGATTTTTTAATGTGCTCCTCAAGCACAGGATACTAGTTACTTAGGATTATAGTTATTCCCCATGGCTTATTAACTCTGTGGTTTAAAAGAGTCTTTGAAAAATTTCCTGCCAAAAGTAGATCACACACAGAATTGGGGGTGAGAATTAAACCACTGCTTCCTTACTCCAGTCTCATCTCCCAACAACTTAAGGCCCCTTTCAAAAGATGGCCCTTTTTCAGTTGTCAGAACTCTGAAGTGAGCATGTGAGGAAAACAGTGACCATCCTCTAGGCCTCCCCTCTACATTGGCTCCTCTCATCACAAGTGTCATCCCTACCCTCACCCCCAACCCCACCCCCGCAGAGCTCCCGTTATAATCAGGTGCATTTAGGGTCAACAGGCCTCATGGAAAACTCTTCAAAATGTCTTTATAACACCACACTACATTAGATTTTGGAGCACTGGATGTATATCTTTGCAACCTTAAGTTCTGTTTGGCCCTGAGGTTTCCCACATCTCTCATCCCTCCTTCCAGCCATCCCCACTCTCTTCAATGAAGGACCCAGCGTGCAGGGATTCTTTGGGCTCTTGAAGTGGCTAAGGAGCTCCCCCCAAGCCCCTGGGCTGCTTGGGTAGTGCCCTTACCTGCATCACACTCCGTGGTGCTGCCCTTTATAAAGTTGGAGCCTTGGGGACAGGCACAGCTGTATCCTCCAGGCCTTAGCAGGCAAAGGTGGCTGCAGGTGTTTTTACACCGGTTGGGCACTGAAAGCAGGATGAGAACAGCAGTTAGGTACTGACCTGAGAGTGCACACCCCAACCAAGTGGATGCTCAGCAACTGGGCATGGCTCTGTCAGGCGACAGCAGAGTCCAGGCAGCGCCCCGACGTCATCTGGCTACTCACCCTCATTTACACTAGCAACTCTGCCACCCCATGAAAGCAGCACAGTCTCTTCCTCTGCCCTCCATTCTATTTCTGTACCTTTCACACTATTATCACGCATCTTCTATACCAGCGGTTCTCAACCTGTGGGCCACAACCCCTTTGGACTGTATTAAACGTCCGTGGCATTAGAAAGGTTGAGAACCTTCCTATACTATCTGTACTACCTTGACAGGTGTGGAAAGTGGATGTTTGCCTAGTTCACTGCCTAAACACAAAATCTAATTGGTGCTAAAAAACTTGAGATGGCTCAAAACACCAGAGAGACCCCTATATTACATCAAGCTTCATCATTACGCAAATCTGGATAGGTCATACACAATAAATGGCCTGTAAGTGATTTCCACCCAACCCTCCAAAGGGAGAAGTTTTTTGCGGGTTTTAGTTTTCTTATTTGCAAGAAAAGGGAATTTAGGATTATAATTCATCAGAATCACCTGATAGCTATTCAAAAATTAAAATATTGATGCCCCTTCATGGGAATTTAGATTTAAATTGGTCTGAGATAGAGCTCCAGTATTACCATGAAAGGTTCTTTAGGTAAAGTCTACAGCAGTGGTTCTCAACCTTCTTTATGCCATGACCCTTTAATACAGTTCCTGCAACTCACAGTTTGAGAAATGCTGGTCTAGAGTCTTATGAATTTTATCTTAGCAGATACTATGATTTATTTAAGGGTTATACTGGATTATATGATCTTTAAAATTCTTCTCAGCCTAAAATTCTGTGATTCTGACTCTCTCTGATCCAAAATGTAACCACAGACAAAGTATGGCTATAAAATAAGACATATTCTAAAAACCTCAGTTGAAATCTATCCCATTTTGTCAGCTCTCCAGAATGGAGCTTTTCAAACTTCACTGTGATACAAGTCACCCAGGGAATCTTGGTAAAATTCAAGTTCTGATTCAGAAGGTCTGAGAGGGAGCCTGAGAGCCTGCATTTCTAACCAGCACCCAAAGGGTCCCTCTGTTACTGGTCCATGACCCACAGTTTGAGTAGCAAAGGACTGGAGCAGTGGTTCTCAAAATGTGGTCCCTGAACCAGCAGCATCAATTATCACTTGAGAATTTATTAGAAATACAAATCCTCCATGCTACTCTACCAAGGACAACATAGTATGACTGTCTCCAAAAAAAAAAAAACAAAAAACAAAAACATACAGGCAGAAATACAAATCCTTAGGTCATCTCAGGCATACTGTATCAGAAACCCCACAAAAGGGGCCCAGTAACCCAGATGATTCTGATGCATGCTAAAATTTGACAACTATTGGTTCAATGTAAATGCTAATCTAGCCAAGCTGGGCTGGGGCTCTGGCCTCGATCTCCATCATTATTTTCCAAAGGGGCCCTTCTGCCGGTTAAGATGTCTTTCCATAGGGGGTAGTCTCCAGACTTTCCTCTGCCTTCTCCATAGGGGCTAGCATGGTAAGGGGTGCTCTCTAAGTGTGCCCTGCTCTCCTCTCTTGCATGTAAAACTGTCAAAACTGTCAACCGTGAGAGCTTCAAGAACACTTAGGATACAAGAACTACTGTATGGGGAGGGTCTGGGTATTCTGGAGAGGGGCTGGAGAGAGGTGCTAGAGATCACTACTAGCAAAATAAGGGAACTACTCCCTAGAAAAAGGCCTTTGGCACCAGTGTACTCTCCTGGGAACTTCAGCTCTGAGTTGCAATTTGCCAAGGCTAATTCAGGGTCTCAGAATATCAAAGGATCTCCGGCTGCAACTTAGACTCACACACAGGGATGGGAAGGCAGTGACTTCTCTAAGGCCACAGAGCCAGAGAATTCAACCTGGGAGTTAAGCATATGGACCACTGGGCCAAAACAGAGATGCTGAGCTTTGGGTTGGATAGAACTGAACCTAAAAATCATTTCATTTGAGAGTTTAAAACTCACTCAAGTTATTAAATTAGCCTCAGATTCCTTATTTGAGATGAGAATAAAATGTGTTTATAAGATTTGGGAGATTAATTGAAGTAACAGATGTCCAGGTTAACGCTGAAGAGAGAATCTGACATAGAACTTAGTTCTTTTTGTTTGTTTCCTTTCTTCATTTAAAAAATTTCCTTTCCCTTTCATTGTGCTCCAACCCTGCTGAAGGATTAATTAGAATACAGGCAACCTGATGCAGCCGGCCCAGAACTCAGAATATTAGAACCAGAGGAAGGCGGAGAAAAGCCTATGACTGACCATTTTATTTATTTTTTTTTTTTTTAGCAATTTTAAGATGTCTCTATTAGTAAATTTCATTGAGAAATGAGTTCTGTACTTATAAAATAAGAAAGAAGGGCATACTTAACCTATGCATTTACTTTTAAAAAATGTGATAGATGGAAATTGGCTAAAAGAAAACTATTGAGAATAGTAAAAATATCTCTGTCTTGCAGATCAATAGGAAACGAGCCTAATTAATCCATAGGCAAGTGAACTAAAAAAGACACCAGGTACAATGAGCTATGATGATAGCACTGCACTGCACTGCACTGCACTGCAGCCCAGGCAACAGAGCAAGACCTTGTCCCAAAATATAAATAAAATAAAATAGTAAAATAAAAGAAATAAAGGCCTAATGAAGATGAAGTTTCAACCAAATGACTGACCATTTTAAACTAAGCCTCATATAGCTCAGATTAACCTGACTAGCCTGGCCTTGCAATTCTAAGAATTCTGTTGTCCATGAGACCCATTTTGTTACTTATTCACCCAGCTAATGCTTAGCAAGGATCTGATGCCTGCTGGATTCTACCATGTTTCCCTGAAAATAAGACCTACCCAAAAAATAAGCCCTAGTAGGATTTCTATGCATTTGTTAAATATAAGCCCTACCCTGATAATAAGACCTAGTGATGGGCAGATACACTGCATAGCCACGCCATGTATTTCAGCGTGAAGCAGTAAGGAAGACTGGAATACCTTTTATCTGCCACAGCTCCTTTCTTGGAGCCATTCATATGTGCGTGGTTGCACATGTGGTAACCATGGTCGCAAACATCCTATTGCGCAGGTGCGAAGGGCTAGGGGAAAGGAGTTCATGCATCACTAGCACTAGCCCTACCAACAAGGTCAGCTCCCTCTATCAGGTTCCAGAAGAAGATGACTTAACTGTATTTGAATAAACGTAGATTGTTGTATTGTACTTAATAAAAATAAGACATCCCCTGAAAATAAGCCCTAGTATGTCTTCTTGAGAAAAAAATAAATATAAGACTGTCTTATTTTCGGGGAAACACAGTATGGCCTAGAAGTACATATCCATAACTCCAAACAATGAGGACTGAAATATCTTTCTTCATATCTGATGGTGTTTTGCATAATTTCATTCAACCTGTAATTTTTATCTTTCTTTGCTCAAAATGGTTAAAACATCCCTGCACACACATATACCTCCAATTCATGCACCAAGATATTAGCTTATTATTATCTGCCATGTTCTCCAACAATATAGCCATTATTTTGAAATAACTCTTCAGATAATGAAGAACATCTTATTTCAAAGTTGGTGATTACCTGAGTGATTATATCTGAGTTGATGAAAGATTCGAGCTTGAGTAAGCCAAGGGTTCAAGACCAGAATTTTCTCTTTTTCTCTTTGCCCAAATTTGTCCTGTTTATATACTTCTCCCTTCTCTTTAGATATCCAGTATAAATGGTTTTCAAAGATGTCCAGACTGTAAGGCTTCATTGCTGCTTACCCACAGGGGAAAAAAACAAAACAAGGTTATTGGAAAGAAAACACCCGAGCACCACTTCTGTATCTGATATTATTCTGTTTGAATAATACAATGCCTTGAAACTCCAGGAACATTCAGGTAGACTTCTGCACGTGGGACTGTGAAAGTGTGCTGCAGTGGGAGATCAATCAAGAGGACAGAAATTAAACCAGATTAATGCACACTGTCTGACACCAACGTCAGGGCCCTACCTCACTTTCATGTTGCTAATTTTATTGCGTTTTGGAAAACAATTTGTATGCCCCAAATTGTATCCTTTCCCTTTAACATACTATTGGTCAGATAGGAAAAATAGGATACTGCTCAATCATTATAGTTTGGCAGAATCTGGATAAGAAAACGAAATGTTCCTTTCCTTCTAGATGTTTCCAGTTGTGCATAATGAGCAATTAAGCACAGTGAAAATGAATGTGTCCAGAGTGAACAGACATGATTAACACTGATACACTGAATGCCACCTGTACATACATGGGTGATCTCACAGACCTCTCAGTTACCTCAATAGCTGCTGCGGAGAAGCATGTTTCAAATTAAGTAAAAAGCACAGAAAGGATTTCATTATTGCTAATGCATTCATATGCTTTTAATTCAGCAGCTAAGAGTTGGGAAGGGAGGTGGGTATCTAAAAAAAGATCAGGGGTCTTTTTCTTGAGAAAATGGGCAAAGAGACTAGAAATATATTAAGTAATTATTTAATTATTTAAATATACTATGTAATATTGTTTAGTTACTTATAGAATTATTAAATTCTAACTCATTTCTAACCTCCATGCGAAACAACTCTCCTAACAGTTCCATCGTGTTTCATGGTTTCAATGATGTCCTCCTTGAAATCACTCCAGTAGATCCGGTCATCATTCAGATAATCAATAGTAAGGCCGGTCGGCCAACCAAGGTAATTGGAAACCAGGACAGTGCGATGCTCCCCATTCATCCAGGCAGACTCGATTTTAGGCTGTTTTCCCCAGTCGGTCCAGTACATAAGCCTGTAACAGAAGGTTTCTACACTGCAGCATCCCACTGCAGAGACCATCCCCCCCACAGGAGAACGTGGGCATTACCAACGGAGTAAGTAAATATGTTTCGCAGAGACCCGGGTACCAAGTGGCTCTCCTTTTATACTTTACAGAAGGTGGGGAGCAAAAAGGGGAAGCATATGTGGTCTACTCTTCCTGAAAACTGCACTTCCTTAACAGAAACTGGCTGAAGGATGCACATTTGGAGCCTTTATAACGTATATTATAAAACCTGCTCATTTTTTGAGAAATGTGAGAGGCAAAAATCAAAAAAAAAAAACTAGCAACAATAAAGAAAAACTTCAATCTCTTTGTAGTCCAAGACAAACATGTCTAGGGGGCATATTTGATCAGCCTCTCATCACCAGGTATAGACCAATCCTTAAATTCCATGGAAAACCCTGTGGCATTTACATAAACTAGGCTCAGGAAAAATGGTGGCCAGAGGTCTATAAAGTCTCAACAACTGGCAAATAATAAATAAATAGTTAAAAATGGTAGACATGGCCAAGCATGATAGCTCACATCTCTAATCCTAATACTTTGGGAGGTGAGAGGATCACTTTAAGCCAGGAGTTCAAAACCAGCTGGGCAACAGTGAGACTCCTATTTCTACAAATAACGTTTAAAAATTAGCTGGATATGTTGGCATGCGCTTATAGTCACAGCAACTTGGGAAGCTTAGGCAGGAAGATCACTTGACCCCGAGAGTTTGATGTTGCAGTGAGCTGTGATGATGCCACCGTACTCTAGTTCAGGTGACAGAGCAAGGCTTTATCTCAAAAAAAAAAAAAACCACATGAAAGAAGCCAGCCAGCCACAGAGGACCACATACTGCATGATGCATTTCTAGGAAATGTTCAGAATAAGCATATCTATAGACACAGAGTCGGTCAGTGGTTACTTAGTGCTGGAGAAGGGAGAGATGGGGGCTGGGAAGGGTAATGGCTAAGGGGTTCAGGGTTCTTTCTAGGGCAATGAAAATATTGTAAAGTTGTTCATGGAGATGCATACCCAACTCTGAATGTGCTAAGAGCCATTGAACTGTACACTTTAAGTGTATATAAATTATATTTTAATAAAGCTTTTTTTTTAAACAAAAAAAAGTAACAAATACTCAAAACTCAAAAGAAAGTACTCGGAATATTATTTTTCCTGTCATGACTTTGTTCATGGTATTTACTGAGCTTATGAACAGGCTGCTCGGCCCCTTTGTCTACCTCCAGATCCAAGACATCCTTCCAGGTCCTTCTCTAGCACCAACTATACTACCAGCGGATCCCAGTCGTTCACGTTCAGTTCAAATGCTACCTTCTACATCTAGTTTCTCCAAAACCCCTGCAAGGTAGGAGAACTGTCACAGTGTTTGTTCAGTAGTTTCCCTCATGACAATCCTCCTTTTCTAACTTATAGTCAAAATTGCTGAATTTTTTTTTAAAAAAAAGGTATTATTTTATCCACCTATGTGAATAGGAGAAAGTTATAACTAATTAATAGGCTTTTGTATGATTCATATGATTTTATATGTGTATACGTAGGACACTTAGCTGGAACATAGTAAGAATGTAAAAAATGTGACTCTTTTTATTGTTGTCATCAATATTATTATAGTCATCATCTTCATCACCCTTCAGACTCAGTAGCAAACCTGATAGTATAGAAACTATGAGAAGTCTCACATATCACAAACATTTTCTTTTATTTTTAAGACAGAATCTCACTATGTCACCCTATGACATAGGGTGACACATAGGGGCGTCACAGCTCACAGCTACCTCAAACCCTTGGGCTTAAGCAATTCTCTTGCCTCAGCTTCCCCAGTAACTGCGACTATAGGCGCCCACCACAATGTCCAGTTTTAGCTGGCCTGGGCTGGGTTTGAACCTGCCATCATTGGTGTATGTGGCTGGCGCCGTAACCACTGTGCTACAGGTGCCGAGCTCACAAATGTTTTCTAAGACTGAGGGATAACTAGCCTCTCAAATGGATCATGGAATGCAGAGGTTTTATAAGGCAGGTCTTAAGGCCTTAGGCAGTTAAACCCTTCCTATCTCCTTCCTTATTTTCTCTCTTTCCTGGGATTGCACAGAACCCTTCCAGAGAAAAAGGAATTAGAAAGAATTAAATAAAGATCTTCTATGAAAAAGCAGTCGAGGGATATGAGAACATGATCATAATATGAAGATGGACATAAACGTTAATTACAGAGGAAAAAATTAACAGCACACAGGAAACAGTCACACCATTCACACCATAAAACACTTCACATCTCTTTGCTCCTAAGATATAGGTTTAGGACAAGTCCACATCACAGGTCAATCTTATGAGTCCAGAAGTTTTCAAGTGTCACTGCTGAGTTTCTGAAGAGTATGATTTAACATATGAAATACAATAGAATCACAGTAATGATAGCTCATAGTGGTCTGTATACAAATACTGGCATATCGACAAAGGGCCATACTGGTCCTGCCCAAATAGGTGAATTATTTGGGGCTATCCAAAATTAAAAATAAAAAATCACTATTCTGAGGCTAAATTGATATATAAGTATCTAGTCATTTCAACTTAGCGATTGCCCAAATAAATGTCTTAAAATGTAGAGAAAAATGATAAAGCTAGTTCTTATTTATACTGAGGTAACTGATAGATAAAATGCAAATTGAAACATTTCTACAAATGGATAAAATATATTTATATAAATTATTATAAATATTGGCAATTCTGGATATAAATGTTTGGAAATATGATCAAATCCCTATCTAACTAGTTTCCTTTCCAATGAAAGGAAAAACAATTCCAATGAAACTTTCACTTAAAACAGACCAGGAATCCATGTAACCAGAAAGGTTTTCAGATATGTTTGCAAAGTAACTTTTCCATCAGAAACAGTTAGTTCTAAAGGATCTAGGATTTCTTTTTTTTTTTTTTTTTTGAGCCAGAGCCTCAAGCTGTCCCCCTGGGTAGAGTGCCGTGGCATTACAGCTCACAGCATCCTCCAACTCCTGGGCTCAAGCGAGTCTCCTGCCTCCACCTCCCAAGTAGCTGGAGACCACAGGCGCCCGCCACAACGCCCGGCTGTTTTTTGGTTGCAGCCGTCATTGTTATTTGGCGGGTCCGGGCTGGGGATTCGAACCCGCCACCTTAGGTGTACGTGGCTGGCGCCTTAGCCGGTTGAGCTATAGGCGCCAAGCCAGGATCTAGGATTTCAAGGGCCATGTTGTAATTCTTGTAACAGTCATAGATGCTATTACTCACCCCCAAAAGTTGAAAAACAGTTTCCGTACAGATATGGAAAAAGTCATTAAAGACATGAAATTTTATGAGAATCCAATGGAAATTATCTAAAACATTAAAGACTCCTAGCTATTCAGGAGGCTGAGGCAGGAGGATCACTTGAACCCATGAGTTTGAGGCTGCCATGAGCTAGGTTGCTGCCATGGCACTGCCCACTCCATGGACAACAGAGTGAGACTCTGCCTCAAAAAGAAAAATAAAAGACTCCTTCAAATACTTACCCCAGTTTAGGATTCACAGCAATGGCAGCTGGTTGATCCAGAGAGGAGGTAACCAGCCACTTTCTGTACCGTCCATCAAGTTTAGCCACTTCAATTCGTTGATTCTTGACATCTGACCAGTAAATATGCCTGAATGCAAAGGAACAAAGTTAAACAAGGGAAAAGACTAGACTAGTCATTTCTGGGGAAGAGGTCTGAAGATGAGAGCATCATGTTCGCGAACTGTGGTTGGTGAGACAGCTACTCAGATAGCTGCCTTCACGGCACAGGCCCCTCCGTGTTATGCCCCTGTCTCTATGGCCAAAGGGACATCTTTGTCAGGTTACCTCCAATGAGTCTGGGACAGATGGACCTCTGCCCAGTCAGCAGCTGCACGGGCCAGGATCTGATTCAGACTCAGTACTCAGACTGGCTCACATCAGCACAATTAGGAGACATGTGCTTCTAGGCACTATGAGCTGGTCCTTTAGTTCTGACTGCCCTGAGTCTATTTCCTCCTCAGCAGAGAGCCTCACTGGATCAATAGGAATCTGGCATCAGCTTTTCGAAATAACAAACTCAGCAAGGGCATCTTGCCCTTAGTTCCACTTCTAAGATTGTGGGTCTCAGTCTCTTTGAAGCAGAAAAGGTTCCATCAGTTTCTTAATCCTCTCATTTAAAAAGTCTGAGAAAGAGGTAAACCTTCAACCAACAAGACGGGCCTGCCATGGCTTGGTTGGTTGTCAAACGGAAGCTGTTAATATCTGGAGTTTCAAGGTCCTGACTCCACTAACAGTTCTCTGGGGTCCAGTTTCCTGACAGAAGATGCTGAAATGCATCTCCTGCTACCCCACGGGTGCAGGGGGACCCAATTAACTTCTTCAGAGACACTCAGGTCTTCAGGGAACACAAGACAAGTTTGTTAAATGGTGACAATGAGTTCACATTGCAAGTAATTCTTCATTCCCCAGGAGGGCAGCTCTGCCTTCCCTCACAAATATGTTTCCAGATTTAGTTCCTTTGAGAGAATCACTTTCCCAATGCCACTTCCGTGCAAAGCTCTTCCTTGAAGAATAAGCTCAACAACTTTTCCTCATCAGTTTGACACCTGATGATGACCCTACATAAGGTTCTTAAGGATCATCCAAAATGTGTGGGTACTAAGAGGTCTAGAAGAACAGAACAGAGCTGGTACCTTTGTTTGGGGGGCGGATTTTTTTGAGACAGAGTCTCACTTTGTTGCCCTAGGTAGAGTGCCATTGGCGTCACTGCTCATAACAACCTAAAACTCTTGGGCTTAAGCGATTGTCTTGCCTCAGCCCCCCAACTAGCTGGGACTACAGGCACCCACCACAATGCCTGGTTACTTTTTTAGAAAAGAGATTTCACTCTGATTCAGGCTGGTCTTGAACCTGTGAGCTCAGGCAATCCACCCGCCTTAGACTCCCAGAGTGCTAGGATTACAGGTGTGAGCCTCCACGCCTGGCCAGGTGGTATCTCTGTTAACGCAATCCCAAAGACTAAGGAGGAAAGTCAAATTTCAATTTATTCCTTCTAAATAGCCTGCTAAAAACACAAGAGGTGGATTGACCCTTCCCTCTATGATAAAACGATTATCAGAGAAAAATGTTTCATCTCGACTGTTTTGCTGGGAGAACTATGAGGCTGTCCCATTTCTTCACAAAAATGAACAGTGCTGGCACAGTGAAAGTTAATTTTAGAATCCAGAACTCTGTTGACAAGAATGCTGTCCTAGATATAACCGGGAACCTTACTTAACCTGGGTGCTTTCTCAAACTTTTTCTTGGCATGCATAGAGTAAGACATGACAGTGTCTCCTGGACACGCTAGGTAATCAGAGATAGCTGCTAGGGCTAGAGTCAGCCCAGGATGTGCCCAGCTGTACCCACGGCTGAGTCACCCACATCTGGGCCCAGCTTAACGCATGTGCCACAGTGAGCGGTTGAGAACTCCAATCAGGAAGACAGAATAGGCAAGAGGGGAATGTGCAGCAAATTTACCTTCCAACCCAGTCCACAGCTAATCCATCCGGCTGGAATACATATTTCAGTTTCAGGTCAACTTCCTGTACAAGATTATTGTTGCCGGATTCAAAGTTGGGGATGTAGGCACGTTTGATAGCACCAAACCCAGAGCCCTGCCCTCGCACAGTGTAATACACAACACCTGCAAGGGAAGACACTCAGGTCAGTGTCATGTCAAGAACATCAGGGAAGGGAGGAACTGGGGTCTAATCGGGTGAGGTGCCGCTCATTTATCAACATCTCTACCTCTTCATTGTTCTTATAATATGATTACTCAATAGTATTGATATGGTCTAGACCTTAAAATTTATCACACCTGAGCTCTAAGGGGTAAATGCTTCATTCAACTAATAATGAGATTTACTTTAATAGTCACAGCTATTAAAAAGTAACTCAGTCAAATATATTTCAGCCAAGAGCTTATTTCTGAAACAGAATGTATAGCTAAACCAAGACAGGGCAAAGCTATTAAGAATTTAAAATTATATTTGAGATCAGTGGTAATAAAGAAGCTGTGTTGATGAGAAGCATGACTGAAGAAATGTGAACTCAGGCATTTTAAGAGACTGTGACTTTGAAGGTATATACTGGGAATTCGCTGCTTTCCTACCTAAGTAAGCATCATTCTTGACAAGTTTAATGTATTGCATGCCTAAGTGTGAAAGTACAATAATAAATCCTATACTGGCATAGTTATTAATAGTTTGCAAAGCCTTTCACATCTCTTATTTCATTCAATCTTGAAAACAACTTTCAGAGGTAGGCTGACAGAAGATTATAGATAAAAAAAAATAGAGATTCCGAGAATCTTCATAACTGTTTAACCTCATAAAAACAATAAAGGAGGGAGACAGGTGTAGAAGACATGTTCATAGGGAAAGAAGACAAGTTTTCTGACTCTACCCCACTACAATCCTCTGGGTACCCATACCACATACAGCCATCAAAGACTCAACAAGCATTATTCATTTTTTCCTTCATTCAACTGAATTTTTTCATCACCTACAGTATATGTATACTGTACTAGATGTTGGGTCAGGTACTAGACATGTAGTGATGAATTAGATTCTGTCTCCAAAAAATGCGTGGTTAGCAGACAGGGAGAAAAAGATATGGGCAACTAGCTATAACTCAATGTCTCATGTGCTTTAGTAAAAGCAAGTATAAAATGCTACAGGCTCAGGGGTCAACAATTGTGGAACTCTGCCAGGAGGAATTATACAAGATGTCTAAGAGGAGGTGACATTTGAACTGAGTCTTTGAGGTTTAAGAAGAGATTTTCCGAGTGTACAAGGGTAGAGAAGAACAGGATCTACATGAGCAGAGACAAGGAGATGTGAGGTGGTCCAGCAAGGATGAGCCCCACTGATGGGAGAAGGTTTAGAGAGAAGTCAGGAAAGACTGGCTGGGACTCAAGGGCATGCCAATATGTCAGGAGATTCTGGGTAAAAGGAAGTTCCTCTTCCACTCATGCAACAAAATTCATGCATTAAAAATTAAACTCCTCAAAATTCAACACATTAGAATTCAGTAAAGTCTCTTAATGCCAATGAAAGATGCCATGGTCTGTACTCACTGAGGCCAATGCCCTCAGGATCCCAGTCATAATCAAGAGCCTGGATATGTTCCTCGTCTTGAAGGTATTCTGAGAACCTCTCAGATGTGAGGTTGTATTTTCGAATTCGAACATTGTCAGGCAGCAGCAACAAAGGAGAGTCACCTGTAAACAAAAGAAGGGCAACTTTATCTGTTTTGAATTCTACCTGAACATTTCCTATATATAAAGAAGAATATAAAATGCACAGCAGGTACCCACCCCCTTTTCAAAAACACATGAGGGTTTCTAGGAATCTGTGTCAGTTAAATCAATAAAGCCGATTATCCAACTGGGTTGCAAAGCCCAAGACTTAGCATCATCATCTCCATTTCAAAAAGGAAGCTAACGTCTCTCTTAGGGATGTTGTCAGTTCTTTATTCTTTGGCCTCAGTGGTGGTTTAGAGCAAAGCTAGACTGAGACCCCAACATAGACTCTTAATTTTTACTGAATTTTTTTCTTTATTCACTGACATCAAAACAGACAAGGATGTAAACATTTAGTCTTACAGGAGAAATACCACATTTGGAACCTTATTAACAGTCAACTGGGAATGTGTCATTCCTCAATCTTGACTGGCAGATTTTATGAATCTTTTTAGCAAGTAATCAGCTCCAGAACCCAATTTATCTTCTAGTTATTGGCAAAGATGCCCAGCTTATTCTTGATTTGAAAAAAAAAATTTTAACCTAAAGCAGCTATTTCAAGTGCTGAGTCATCCCAAGATGTATTGTCTGGAATTTTTTGAATTTAATTTACCTGCATATGTCAATCAAATTGAATTTAAGTAACTTTTATAAGTTCATTTTACTATTTCCTCTATTTTAACATTGTTTTTCATATGACCATTCTAATTAATTTTAGTCAACTCCTTAATTAAAAGATGTAAACATTTTTAAATTTGCTGCTTAATTATCACACCAACTGTTCGAATTCTCTTACCCCAGTTTCATTCAATATCAACAATGTTTGGAAGGTAAAATAATTAAGTATGCTGGTCAAATGGATGCTTTATAAGCCCAATTTATATGAAGAATTTACAGAACTATTTTGTTCATTTACCTGTTAAAGACCTATACCCCTTAACTAGGATAAGTTAATTATGTTTATGACTTACGGTCCTTCTCTTTTGTCATTTCTATTTAGTGCTTGTTCCTGCTTTTTATCAGACCTGATTATCAGATACTGTCATTGACCTAAAATGTAAAACTAATGATTGAAGTTAAGAATGCACCAGACTCCTTTCTGTCTGTGATCAGCAGACCATAAAAAATAAAAAGAGGTCTATCCACAGAGTGTCCTTGATGTGATCTGTTTCAATGTGACTGTTTCTTGTGTGCCATCGTGGACTACAAGGCTCAAACCTTAATCTCAGTGCAGTGAAAGCTAGAGGGCCCTGGAAATTTCCTCTGCTAATGACTAGCCCACAGGGAAGATTTTGTTGTTTGAACCTTCTGGAAAGTGACACCTTGTCCACTGTTTGAAGCTTTCATCAAGGTGGACGAGAGGCTAAATCCTGAATAGTAAGTAACATCTGACTCTTGTTTTAATTTCTACGGATTTGTTAGGAGACACTGCCATTGTTTTAAACTGGCAGGGGATGAAAGAGAAGAGACTGAGGAAGTGCTGGTGGGTTAAAAATAAGACTCTGAGAGTCCAAAGCTTGTTTCCAGGCATATCTCTGAAGGTTGACTAAACCCAACATGAACCCATCATACCTTCAGCTGCACATCTTTTTCCAAAGTCCTCACTCACAGACCGGAAGCCATCAGCACAGAGACACTCATAACTTCCTTTGGTATTTCTGCACTTCTGGGAACAAATCCCAAATTCCTCACATTCATTGATGTCTGTAGGCAAAAGAAAACCAAATATGCAACATCTGCTCCCATCCATACCCTAGAGAAATCGTGCATCTGTTTAAACCCATATTCACAGGTGATGAGGACTAAGAAGAGTGCAGATGAAAACAATCAACCATACGGACTACGTGCGGAACACTTACTAAGTAAGTTTCTTGTATTTTTCCACATGCTCCTCACTTAGTCATCCCAAAAATCTCATAAGAGATATGGTCTTTTACTGTGCCCTAAGTCTCCAAGTTGGTAAGCAATGGAGACAGGATTTATACTGTAGCATTATCACTCTGTAGAAAAGCAGGGCAAACTTCCCCTTTCAGAAAACTGGGTAAAAGAGAAGATTTAAACTTTAGACATGAAACTATAAAAACACTAGAAAAGAGTGCAGGGAAAATGCTTGAAGAAATTGGCCTGGGAGAATATTTTATGAGGAGGACCCCCAAGGCAACTGAGCAACACTAAAAATACATTACTGGGATCTGATCAAACTAAAAAGGTTCTGCACAGCCAAGAGCACAGTAAGTAAAGCAAACAGACAACCTTCAAAGTGGGAGAAGATTTGTGCAAGTTATGCTTCTGACAAAGGTCTGATAACTAGAATCCACAGAGAACTCAAACTAATCAGTAAGTAAAGAACAAATAACCCCATTTCTATGTGGGCAAGAGACTTGCACAGAAACTACTCTGAAGAAGACAGGCACGTTGCCTACAAACACATGAAAAAATGCTCATCATCTTTAATCATCAGAGAAATGCAAATCATAACCACTTTGAGATATCATCTAACTCCAGTAAGATTAGCCCATATCATAAAATCCCAGAACTACAGATGTTGGCACGGATGTGGAGAGGAAGGGAACACTTCTACACTGCTAGTGGGAATGCAAGGTAATACAGCCTTTTGGAAAGAACTTTGGAGAATATTCAAATAACTAAAAGTAGACCTATTGTTTGATCCTACAATTCCTCTACTAGGTATATACCCAGATGATCAAAAATCATATTACAACAGAAAACATCTGTTGTGTTATGGTTGCTTGGTACCACTTTCCTTTTGCAAACTAGTCCCAGCAAAAAGAGTCATTGATTTGATTTTTCATTTGGGTTCTTAAGCTTCTGCTCCCAAATGAACGCTTATAATCACATGCATACAACATATCATGAGTTAGAAACAGTAAGTTCAAATAATAAAAGATAATTAAAATCATGCTCATTGTTTTCCGTCTTGATAAGCTACTTTCCAACGTCCTACCTTAGAATTCATTTATATCTGGCATTAGAGGGTGTGTCATAAATATGCGTTGTTTGGCTAACGATGAGAAAAGTAAACCTTAAAACTTTGATCTCATACACTGGTACAATAAGCAGCCATCATTACCGCAGCCTTCATCATTTGTATCAATTCCACAGACATTACCAAACACACACCATCTGTCAAGCACTTTGCCAGGTGCTGATAAGTGGAAAAAGCAAATTCTTGCCCTAGAACCCTGCGTGTAGCCCCATCAGCAGAATTAAACAGTGACTTATTTAGTAAAAGGGAATGGGCAAGGAACCTGAATAGGATCAGCTTCTCCTGATAGGAATTAGAGAAAATATACTCTACCTTCACAGGAGTTTCTGTCGACTGCACCAACTTTGAACCCACTTCTACAGGAGCAGATAAATCCCCCCACATTTAATTGAGTACAGTTTTGTTCGCATATCTTTTCAGCACATGTTCTCTCTTTTCCCACATCTGAAAAACACAACCCCAGCATTACAAACCAGATCAGCCACAAATGAACAGTCAAGTGGTGTGTCCAAAGGAACCCATGGCTGACTACAGGACATGATGAGATGACCCTCTCCACAAGCCCTTGAGCAGTGAGGGTGCATCTGGATGCTGATTTTCGGTAATGGCCTGAATGCCATTTACACAAATGTATGCTAACGTTATGTCCTTGAGGCAATTCCCTATTAAACGCAGCACTGGCAGGTTCACCTTATGAATATCCCCTAGGTTTTAGAACTATGAAGCCAGACCTTCTACAACTATTGCCAGCTGCTCTGCTATCTTTAGTCCTATTATAGATGGACAGGCAGGTGCATGTATAAATAAAGATACTGAGACAGGTTAGAACAAAGTTACAAGTAGGAGGAAATTACAAGTTTATGAGAAGACTATATGTTGTCAGTAAAACGCAAGGTCATAAGTCATATGACTGCTCTCACAGCCATAAATTGGTATACACGGAAATGAATTTTGTAATATGAATGTGTGCATCAAAGGCTTTAAAAATATTCATACTCTTTTATCCAGTTGTTACATGTTAATAAATTTCCCCTCAGGAAGGAAAAAATATGTTTGATGATGTAAGTTTAAGGGTTATAACATTTTTTAGAATAAGAAGATTTTAAACTTCAATGTGCATTTGATAATAGGAAATCAATTATAGTATATCCTATCAAATCTAAGACACTGTAGACGTACCATTACTTTAAGTAACACTAAAATAGGAAATATGCAAAACTCACATTGTGACATGTTATCAACTATAAGGTGCATCATAGCTTTAGAGATGTTACAATATGAAAATATATATCTTAGAGGCAATAAGCTATGATTATCTATGTGATGGGTTACTATGTAATTATTAAAATTCACGATTTCAAATGATATTTGACATGAGAAATATCTAAAATAAAAAGATTGAAATACTCTCCATTTAGTATAGAATATTTCTTAAACTTTCTTTACATATTAACAAACATTTTTTTGCACATCCATATGCTAAAAAAAAAAACTGCAAAAAGTGTACCATATTTTAGGGATTAGCTTTCTCTCAGTGATGGGATTCAAATTATCTTTACTTTTCATTGTTAATGTACTTTGTAGATATTATAACTTTCATAGTAAAAAAACAATCAACCAATAATTTGTTTTTGTAGGGGCCGTACGAATGATCCTTGTTATCTCTGCACATCTGGGTCCAGATAGTCTAGGACAGATGTTTAACAGCTCAGACTCTACCCTAATACTTCATTGCTCATCATTGTTCCAAGGTCTTGCCTCTGCCAATATCTAACTCATCCACGTGGCTTTCATTCTCATCAGTTTGCCTCTTTTATCCTCAGTCTCCATCTGCTTCCAAACCTGAGTCCTACAGAGAAGCTAACCAAGATGAGCACAGTGAGTGACCAAGGGGAAGGAGGTGGGAAATGGTTATCTCCATCACAGATTCCAGCTTCATCTACCTCTCAAATGAAATGTCTCCTGATCATAGGCTTCTGAATATCTTAGGCAAAGAGATGTGGTATCTCCTGTTTACCACAGGAGATGGTGATTCCTGAAAGATGATTCTTTCAAATCAAAATAGATTTCCATCTACCCATCTTCTATAGTATGCAATGAGTTGAACTTCTCAGATTCCTTTAGAGTGTCATGACTGACTATATCAGTCTATGTGGTTTAAACAGACTAAAAAAATTAAGTTTAAAAAAGAAAAATAACCACAAAATAAGCACAATCACATTCAATGAAATACTGCCCTTAGAGCAGACTTCAAAACTATATACATGAAGCCTGATAATAAAGAGCTAGACTCCAAATTTTTTTTTTTTTAAGACAGAGCCTCAAACTGTCCCCCTGGGTAGAGTGCTGTGGCATCATAGCTCACAGCAACCTCCAACTCCTCGACTCAAGCGAGTCTCCTGCCTCTGTCTCCCAAGTAGCTGGGACCACAGACGCCCACCACAATGCCCAGCTATTTTTTGGTTGGGCCGGGGCTGGATTCAAACCTGCTACCTTAGGTGTATGTGGCTGGTGCCTCAGCCACTTGAGCCACAGGCACTGAGCCTAGACTCCAAATTCTTAACAACTACACATTGCTGAATGAGTCTATTCAGATTTTCTATTTTTTCTTGAGTCAGATTCAGTGTTTTGTATTGGAATTGTCAACTCAATGTAAGTTGTGTAATTTACTGTAACTGAATTTTTTATAGTATTCCCTAAATATCTTTTAAGTTTCTATAAAGTTAGTAGTGATTTCATCTTGTCATTGCTAATGACCTGTTTTTATTAACTTGGACATCCTTGAGCCAGCCACATAACCTCTCTGGGTCTCATGTGCATAATTAAACTTTGTAATCTCTTCCCAGCTCTAAAATCTACAATGAGATTAAGGGTCCCAGAAAGCAAAAATTTCTGGACCAAGTGCTCCCTTGACACATAAATGATATTGGCAACCTATGATTTACCTCTTTATTTCTGAACAGTGCTAGAAGTTAATATCTTTCTGTTCCTAAAAATTTGCTAAAAGAATAGATTTTAGGTGCTCTCCTCACTAAAAAATAAAAAGGTAACTATGTGAGACTACAGAAATGTTAAATTCCTTGTCATTGTACAAGGTCTAACAATTAAGTTTGCAAACTTACCACTGTGTGCTTACGTTGGCAGCACTGTCCAAACAACTCAGTAAGCTTTCATAACCTTGGCATATCAATGTCTCATTGCTGTGTTTATGTTGACATGTGGTGGTGTTTTGCTGAGTGATATTCATTATTGTTGTTGCATGTTTTTTTGCGCCATACAACAACAGGTCTGATGATTATTCCAGAAAAAAAGTTCCAAAATTGCTTTAAAGGGTAGGCTAGGCATTGGTATAGGTCCATCGCTTCCCAAGGGGAGTATGGAACGTGACCAGAATGATTTTCAGCAATGAGGTAGACAGCACTTTTTCTAGGTTGAGTTCATGAACTTAATTGTCAAACCCCATATGTGAAAGTATTTCATAAACCATAAATAGACTCTACAAAGACCTGAGTTATTAACATGACATTCCAACATTTCCATTAAAATATTGAGCTAGAACCACTCCTTAGGAATGTTCATCATCCTTTTCCTACACAAAAGTTGAATGTTCCCTCCAAGGGAACATTCCCATCTTGATCAACTACCCTCAGAACATTTTTCAAGTGTCAAGGACACTGCATTTGGCTTAAGATTTTTAAAATGTACAGATTAATAAAATATGTATCTTTACAGCACTAAAAGGCACCTGGGAAACCAGGAGCAAGATGGGATGTGCTCTGCGGTTAGGCAGACCAGACTTCAAAGGCTGACTCCACCACCGAACGACAGGTCAGTTTATTTAATCTCTAAGTCAGTTTCCTAATTTGTATATAAAAAAGATAATAACATCTCACTCATATGATACAATACATATGATAGAAGGATGAAATGTCTGGCATAGTATAGGTGCTCAATCACAGGTAGTAAGGGGATTGACTGAAATTCAGAGCACAATGTAAATTAAAAAGACATATCTGGTTATCATCTATTTTATATTATTCAATGCTTTAATGAGGTAAACCCAAGTTACTACAATGAAGTATAAAAATAAGTGTTTACTTACTGCAACCTGTTTCATCAAAATAGTTTCCACAATCATTGACATCATCACATACATTATCCTGTGGAATGCAAAGTCCATTGTCACACTTAAATTCGTTTTCTGTACAAGGTTTATGGGTTGGTTCATGACCTGTAATTTAAGAATAAGTTAAAGTCAAAACTGTTTCTTCTATGAAACAAGATGCTTTCTTTTGTGACAAAGACGGTTACTGCTTACCAAATAAACAAGAGCTTCCCTACATTTCCCAGTCTCCCTTACAGCTGGATCTGGACCATGTACCCAGTTCTAGCCAATGGGCTATGAGTTGGAAGTGACATGTGGCACTACTGGGCTGAAGCAGTGACAGCCCACGTTCCTCCACCATGTCTCTGACACTGCGGCAGCAACCTTGGAAGTCGTGTACTCCAGGTGGCAGAGCTACAGGAGGGAGGAGGGGTGTGCAACCTGTGTGCCTTTATGTAAGTGAGATGTGAGTTTTTGCTAGGTTAGACCACTGAGACTTTGTTTATTGATTGCAGGGCCTAGTTTTAATTACTTTGAATGATATAGAGTGATGAGAGAAGTAGGGTACTTCCATAACAAAAACCTAAAATATTTGGAACGGGCTTAACAGTCAGGAGGCAAGCAAAGAGGAAACTGATATTTGAGTCAGAACAGAAGATGATGTTCTGTATTACACAATGCCAAAGCATTTGGCAAAGCTGTCATCACAGAGAAATTGGAAGGTAGACCCTGTGCTTATTAAACGTCAATCTAGGGGAGGAGGTTAGAAATGTCAGTAATGTGCATTGGTTGCCAATCCTGAGAGTTTGGGAAGGTAGTACAGGAAAGAGGCTAAGGGAAGAACTGGTTTATATACAATCAGAAATGAAAGAAAATACAGTCCAGAAATTTGCAGTATGGGAAAGGGGTCAACTATTACCTAGATCCCAAACAATAAGAGTCCAAAGTTTAAAAGGCCCAATAAAACCTCTTAGTTGGATCAAATGACTGCCCATCTGTTTTTCTAGATAATCATTTGAGACAGAGGTGCATGAGGAAAAACAAGCAGAGACATAAAGCAAATTCAAGAACTATGTCTCAAAAAGAACAGTGAATCAGGTTGTTAAATTTTAGAACTGGAAGCAAACAGATCAAAAGCCTGCTACTTTTCTGAACAATATATATCACCAAATAAACCAAAATACTCTCACTGTTTGAGACTTTTATAAAACTATAGGCTCCCAACCTTCTATAAGCAGGAAATAGGCTACGAAAGCTGTGCAGCCCCTAGTGAGGGCATCACATTCCCCTGGCTCTCCAAAGACTAGAGTAACAGACAATGAGGGATATTTGGACACAGGTGCTCCTCCCAGAACAGAATCAGGACCTAATCAATAACTCTCCTCCCCTCTCCACAGTAAGGGCCTTCACAGTGTCTGTACAGGGTGATCATATAATTGCTCTTGAAAGTGAAGGTGTTGATATTAATCATTCCACAGACAACGGACATAGATCAGACTGTGTGACACCAACATGTGTCGGCCTGACCAGTGTACTTCAGAATGGTTACAGACTAGTGATTGTGATGTTTCTTTCCACGGGGAGTGTTCACTTCTATTGTATTGCCCCTGTTCTACCACTATCTATTGGTGGGAGGTGGAACAAATAAAACTAGTCCAAACCAAGAGGGACCGTATCTGGAACTATGGAGTGACTACTGCCCATCACCCAGAGTTCTGAGATTTCAGTTACTAAGTGGGACTTTGAGCTTTAGGGAGGGATTAAGGGTGTACTGATGTATGAGAAGCATAAAGGGTATTTAGTGGCAAGGGTATATTGTGGTAGAAAGAATTGGTGCTCACTAAATATCCAGGCACTTCCCTGTACTTCCCAGTCTCCCTTGCAGTTAGATTGGGGCCTTGTGACGCCCACTTCCTGGTCCAGGAATGCCTTCACCATTTCTCTCTCCTCCTTACTTGGCAATCTGAAGAAGACCATATATTCCTCATAATATAACCTTTGGATGCAGGAGGGCTACTTGACCTCCATGAAACTTCACATGAGTGAGAAAAGACACTTTTGCAGTCTTAAGCCATTGAAATGTTATAGTTTGCTTATTGTGATAACTGGCAGCAGGTCCTCTGACTAAAATCCTGCTCCATGGAAAGAATAGAAGTTTACTGTTCCTTTTTTCCAATCTAGGATTTGAACACATATTACAAATATCTTACTTCATTTTTTAAAAATGGCATTATCAGTAGGGGAAAAGGAAAAAGGAACATGGAAGGGTAAAAACCTGTTCCAATTTTTAAAAAATATTTTATTTCTAGCCTGGGGCAGTGGCTCACACCTGTAATCCTAGCACTCTGAGAGGCCAAGGAAGGTGGACTGCATGAGCAGGAGTGAGACCCATCTCTACTAAAAATAGAAACATTAGCTGCGTGTAATAGTGCATGCCTGTAGTCCCAGCCATTCAGGAGGTTTAGGCAAGAGGATCACTTGAGCCCAGGAGTTTAAGGTTGCCGTGAGCTATGACACTCTAGCCTGGGAAAACAGCATAAGACTGTGTCCCAGAAATTTAAAAAAAAAATGTGTGTGTATATATGTATATTTTTTATTTATATATTATATACATAAATATATGTATATAAAACATACATATATACGTTACTATATACTCATATATTTTGTTTCTGGTTTTCATCCTTTTGTACTGTACTTCAAATAAGCATATTAACATTGCTATAACCATAGATTCATCTTTACCAATAATAATAACAATAACTGGATATAAACTTAAACACTACAGCAGTGTCAAAGTCCTCCCGGACACCATCCCTCTGGGATGCGGAGCTGGATGTTAACCTGAGGCTCAGCATTCTAGGGCCACATCAATACAAGGGATGGGAAATGGAAAAATTAGGCTTTTATCTCAATTTTCCCACGTAAAGTTGGTTGGAGGCGGGGGTAATTGGTGGCGAGGGAAATAATTTACCTCACTGACTTTTTGTAGGCAAATCAAATTGCCCAGAAAATTGGTCAATTCTCCCTTTCAAGGGATAAACTTTAAAATATTTCCAACGTTCAGGAAAAGCAGAGATATTTTAATATCTAAAACATTAAATGCAGCCAGTTTGAAATTTCTATCTTAAACTAATTTATCATTCCTGTAGGAAATAAACTTTCATTTTCAAGAAGGATATTAGATAAGCTCTGTTAACACCATGGGTGTCTTACTTAACATGATCTTTGCAGCTGGGTATTAAGAAGGAATATTCATTCCCACGACTAGATTAACAATTAGCAACCCCAGGCTGAAGAATGACCAAATCTCATCTTTGAAAACAAACCCTTAATTTGTCAACCATGTATTTAGTGTTTGTTCTCATTTTCTTGTGAAAAAAGAAGAGGAAAAAAGCTTGTTAAAATGTTTAAACAAAGACTAAAAAAGTATGGGATTTGCCAACATCTCCACTCCAATGAGACAGGAAGAAGTGGGTGGTGTTGTATCTGAGTAGCGCATATGTTCGCAGGGTCTTATAAACAATTAAGTCATGTAGGTCCAACTCAAACCTCCATAGAACAAACTGAAATCCCAGCTGCACATTCTAAAAACTGCACACAACTGAGGACCCTTCATTTTTTCCTTCTCCCTTTCGGTTTTTGCTTACAGTGCTCTGCTCTCTCATCACTTCCATCTCCACAGTTATCCACAGTATTGCACAACTTTGAGCTATAAATGCAGCGATTGTTGTCACACCGGAAACGGTCTGGTGATTCACAGGGAACATCCGCTAAAAGGAAAGACAGAAAAATGAAAGTACAAGTTAGGAGTGCAATGTTAGTATCGCTATCTAACATACTCCCATGCTAGCATTAAGCTTGCTTCATTCATTCATTCAGTTACTCACCTGACTAATCAATCAACAGACACATCTTGAGTGTCTTGTACACCCCACTGTGCTGTACTAGATAGATGGGAAACAAGAAAGTTCCTTGTCCTCCTGGAGCTTTTATTTTAGTCCATATTTAGAGATATGGACTTTACACATTAACCATTTATAACTGCAAGGCATGTGCTAGGGGGATCTAACACAGATTTGAGGAGGAAGGGTTGAAAGAGGCTTCCCCTAAATTCTGAGTCAGAAAGGACAAGGGCAAGTTTCTGTGGCTGGTGCACAGAGTGAGGAGGGTGATGGTGCCCAGGAGGCTGGAAGGCTGGTAGATCGGTACATGGGCTCTTATCCTAACAACCAAGAGGCCACTGTTTGATCAGATTAGATTGTTTATCACAGCTAAATTTACACTCACTAAGATGTGGAAACAACCCAAGGGCTCATCAATCTATGAATGATTAACAAACCATGGTATCTATATACCATAGAATACTATTCAGCCTTAAAAAAGATGGAAACTTTACATCTTTTGTGTTTGCCTGGATGGAGCTGAAACACACTCTTCTTAGTAAAGTATCACAAAAATGAAAAAGCAACTATCCAATGTACTCAATACTAACTATGAAGCCAGATGACAAAGTAATACACACCCACAAGAAAAAAAACTCAATTCAATTCAAGCTGGGGGGATGGGAGGAGGAGGGAGGAGTGGGTGTGCTCCCACCTAATGAGCACAATGTAGGCATATATAGCACACCTCCTGGGGGCGGGACACAGCTACAACAGGAGCCTTACCTAACAAAAGCAAACATGATAACCTAATCATTTGTACTCTCATATTAATCTGAAATAAAATAAAAAATAGATAAATCTTTTCTTTGCGTATTAAAAAAATAAGTAGCAATGAATCTAGGAAAAGGAATGGAAAAAGGCAAGGTGAATTTCAAAAACGAGTCAGATTGGGAGCTAAGAGGTTCAGCAGCAATATTTCTGGAGGTCCCTTCTCCTGGGCGGAAGGCTTATACATTCAGGCTCCACTGTCAGAAACTCAGATTGGGTAGGTCCAGGGTATGGCCCATGAATCTGCATTTCTAACACGGTCCCAGATCGCACCGGTATTCCTAGTACATTGAGAACTATTGCCTTAGACGTTCTCCAGGGACTCAAAGCACATAGCAAAATGATAGAAACAAACTATTTTCTTTCACTTTGTGTTAAAATCCAGTAGTTCTTAACCAGAGGACTAAACTAAAAAGCTAAGGATCTTTTTAAAGATACATATGCATAGACCCTATCCTTGGGGACTCTATTTCTTTAGGTCTAAGCCTAGGGTGAGGCCAGAGTGTGTTATTCTGAAACATTCCTCCCCCCATTGGTTCTGACATGTACCCAAACTGAGATTCACTGATTTGAAAACATGAATATGCATCATTCAACAAGAGGGAGTTAGACGGCTTTAGTCTTAACATTTTCTGGCAGTGTTCCAGGAAGCAGTATGGATTGGGACAGGCTACTTCGAGGGATACCAGAAGTAGGATGAAGCAGACATTACAACCTCCCCATGCTCCTCCTCCGACTTCGGCCACAACGCACCTGTTTCTATTTATGCTTACTGGGTTTCCAAGCAAGATTTCTTTAGAATAAATTGTTTTCTAAGGATATAAAAAATATTTAAAAACCACAGAGGTTCTGTCCAATGTTCTCAGGTTACAGAGAAAAAACTGAAACAGCAAGGCCAAGTGAAATCACAACAAAGCTGATCACATGTCCAGTGCTCACAAACTGCCCTGCAGGACCACAGGCTGCCTGTAAGAAACACTAAGACTTTGCCAGACAACCCTGCTCCCATTCACTCCATTTCTCCCCCTCTTACAGCACAAGTGAAGTTCTTCATCAGAACCATCGCCACAGTCGTTATCGCCATCACATTTCCAATTCAGCTGGATACAAACATGGTTTTTACATTCAAACATATTAGCCTGGCAGTATGTACCATTGGGAAAGCGAGTGGCTGTCATGGGAGAAGAGACATATTCAAATTATTGTACAATATGACAAATTTTGGAAAGCTTCTCTACTATTTCTTCTTTGACTCTTGCCTTTATACCCTGCTCTTCCTTATTCATTAGGATGTACTGTGGCTTTAACCTGTCTAAGAATCCAATGGACTATGTCTTAAGAAGAGTCCTGGCTCGGTGCCTGTGGCTAAAGCGGCTAAGGCACCAGCCACATACACCTGAGCTGACAGGTTCAAATCCAGCCCGGACCTGCCAAACAACGACGGCTGCAACCAAAAAATAGCTGGGTGTTGTGGCAGGCACCTAGGACCTGTTGTGGCAGGTCCCAGCTACTTGGGAGGCTGAGGCAGGAGACTCGCTTGAGCTCAGGAGTTGAAGGTTGCTATGAGCTGTGATGCCACCACACTCTACCTGCTTGAGGCTCTGTCTCAAAAAAAAAAAAAAAAAAGAACAGTCCTCCAAGTCCATCTTTTCAATGGCATGAATCATCCATGGACAATGCTGGACTTTGGACTGATTCCACTCACACACATTTACAGAATCTCTCAACCAGGTTTTAAGATGTGGCAACCATACCATCGACAATAACCGTCATCAACAGTTAACATTTATTTAATGATTCATAAAGACTAAAATTTGAGTGATCATCATATTGCCCTTACATTTTGAATAAATTTTATATGCCATATGTGATTCTGAAATTGTTTAATGCTATACATTCAGTATGTTCTAATACCCAACCCAAGTTCTTTATTCCACCTTTTACATTGCTCACTCTTTTTTTTTTAAACTAAGTTTATTTTTTTTTATTTGTTTGTTGTTGCAGTTTGGCTGGGGCTGAGTTTGAACTCACCACCCTTGGTATATGGGGCTGACACCCTACTCACTGAGCCATAGACGCCACTCTTTTTTTACCTAAAATGTTTTTTATCCAATTAATGCTTTGTGTAATAGCTGATGATATATAAATACTATGTCAGCATGGACTACTTACTACACTCTCTGTTTAAAATACTGTTAATGAAATGCACTTGGATGACCACTGTGGCATATATGTATGGATCTGATGAACTGATATTCACCAATGGATGCTGAACAGAAAACACCTCTGGCCCTTTGATTTAAGAAGTGGTAGCTGACTAGTACTGAAATGATCATATCCAAATCTTCAAGACACTGAAGGTGTTGTGGGACTTACGACAAGTAGATTCATCAGAGGCATCATGACAGTCAGCAGCTCCATCACATTTCCAGTCTTGGGGGATACAGTGTCCACTTGCACACTGAAAATAGTCAGGATGGCAGGTCCTCAACTCTGAAGAGAAAAGAACGTCATTCCTCGAAGGCTTTGTCATTTTCAGGCAGGTATGAGATACGCGGGGTATAGCGAGGACCCCGTCACATCCCCATCTGTGATCCCTGGCTGCCTCACAGCTTGAGGACAGTAAATGAACAAACTCTGAAATTCATACTTGCCTCACCCAATACAGGCAGATGGAAGTACCTATCTCCCCTCTACTAGATAAGCTCCAGCTCTTATGCTTTTTCTAAGAAACCAGAATTCCCCAATTTTTAATGTTTCCTGATTTTTCTCAGGCCCAACACTTAATCTATAAAAAGCTAGAAAAATTCCTTGTGGTTTAGGACTTCCATTGCTGTAGATCCTTAAGGTGACTTTCTGTGAAATACCAGGAAGACTTAAAGCCTACTCGTAAGAAATATCTAAATTAAAATCAGACATTTTTCAATTCCTCAGTATTTTCCCCTATTACGGTTGATCTAGACCACTAAGAGTTAAGAATAAAGCACAGAAAATACAGAGCAGAAGATACTATGTTGCTAAGGCTGTATATTATAAAACTACATAAATATAATTTTACTATAAAAAATTTTACGGACACTAATTTGAAGTCCCTCCCTCAGTCATGGTACAAGATTTTATGGTAAGCTTCTCCAAAATCTCTGACAGTTACCACAGTCCCGCTCATCTGAATTGTCCCCACAGTCGTCATAATGGTCACAGAGCCACTGAGATGGAATGCATTGTTGATCGGGACATCGAAACTCGCTCTCTGTGCACTCTCGGGGGACTGGAAAAGAAAAGCACCGAGCTGTTAGTATGCCCCAGGAATCACACCCTGGAGACAGCTTAAAAACTGGGCAATGAGCCCTCAGTCACCAATGCACTCCTGTGTTCGAAGCCCCAGAGCTGTGCTTAGACAGGTCATTGGTCCTCCAAAATGAGACATTCCACCTCAATTTTGATTCTGTAAAGATAGCCTTTCATTTCATGAAAACTCTAGACAACCTCTTACAGGATTCCCCATCCAATGCCTGTAGTCAGTACCTTCAACTGGGGAGAAGAACCCAAACCTGTCTTGTTATTTAACCATCAGGCCTCCTAAAATAGCTAGTTCCAGAAGGATAACAATGCAAACACAAGTAGTCTCTCTGTTGCTAAGAGAATTTGGGGGAAAGAGCTAAAGAAGCAGGGTTATTGAGTCTTTAGTCCTGATTTTCTATCTCGATTCTATTTATCTTATCGTATTTGTCCTTTTCTTATAAAAACTTGGGTCTAAGTAAGTTCAATAGACAAAAGATACATTTCTCTACATATTCTCCTCCAAAAGCTCGATTTTAAGAATCTCAGAAGAAGATGATTTATGTCTTCAGGGGGAATTATTGGTGAAATAATTTATTTCAATTATTGGTAAAATAATTGATGAAAATTATTTATTTTCCAGGAGAAAGAAGAAATATACCAAGCAGCAGAAAGAGCTTCACCTTGCACATTGAGGATGAACAGCATAGACATCCGAACTGTGTGTGGACAAGCAGCAAACACCACAGCTCTGGTGGCACATAAGGATCCCGGAACAGGGAACACTCACCACAGCCTTCCTCATCTGAGTTATCTTGACAGTCATCTTCCCCGTCACATTTCCAGCGAAGAGGGATGCAGACGTGATTTTTACAACGGAAATCCCCTGAAGGATGGCATGTCCGCTCCTCTGCAAAGCACAGTAAAGATGCCATAAACCAATGGTCAGGAAGTGGCCACTGAGCCAGAGAGCCACAGCTCTCAGAGTGCCAGAGCGCGAGTTTCGATGTGCCAATCATCAAAACTCAAGTGGGACTGGCTACTTTGTGAGACGGCCTGGGAATTATGTCACCACATTTTTGAAGTTCCCAGAGAGAAGAATGCCAGCAAGATTCATTGCCAGTCTTCCCAACCTACCCTACTGCTTGAAATAGATCCACTCCCTCTTATAGAAGCCATTCAGAAAATGAACTGGCATTGGATTTGTAATACACAACAAAGGCCTGGGAAGAAAGGCTAAAATGATGCCACAACGAATAGGACATTTCTATCATTTCTATCATATTGTCTTCAACTGATCCAACGCAGTCTTATTAAAAACCCATTATCTTTCTTCTCTCTCTTCCAACACACACACACAGACACTCACTCACAGACACTTTGGTTTTAAGTTTGAGTACATGCCTAATCTTGGCAAATTCCATATTCAGCCTTTTGCCCCTAAATTCTTTCCATGTTTCCAGAGTGACTCCAGCTGAGCGATAGATGATATGGAAAAACATTCAGAATATTAAAATCCCCACATAACAAATATTCTTATATGGAAATATCCATTTTGGAGACAAATACCAAGCCTTTTCTCTAATCCCCTTACATTAATTTCAATCAATCTATAAGATTAGACAAACAATTTGAACTTGTCCAGTATGAATATATATTCTACTTTTGAGAGAAATTACACAGTGTCTTCCTCAATGATAGCATCCTTTGGGCTAAATTCCCCCAATTACCCTGCAAAATGCTATAAAAATGTAACATGTTATTAGAAGAATTAACAAATAAATTTGATTCTGTAGAGGTAAACAAAGAACAAACTGAGATGGGAGAAGAAGTCCGCCTCTTTTCGCATCTAACAAAGCCTGTTTGTCGCTCCCTCCACCCCTGCAGCCCACCTACCGCAGCCCTGCTCATCACTGTTGTCCCTGCAGTCATCGAAACCATTGCACACAGCAGACTTGGAGATGCAGCGGTAATTTGTTTTACAGCTGAATTCCGTAAGGTTGTTGCAGCGATAGGCAGGGGTCACTGAAAAGTGAGCAAAAAAAGTAGCAAAGTCAGAACTGAAGGCATCAGAAGGTACCTTCTGATTATCGTATTGAGGACATGGTGCTGATGAGTAACAAGTACCCTGTTGCCAGCTAAATTGACTCTGGCAACATGTCTGTTTTAAATGTGATTCCCATGAGCAGGATAACTGAATCCTAAGTTTCCTCACTATCTCAGCACCGCTCTTGTGGTTAGCTGTGTAACACTCCAGGAGAAGAAAGGACTGGATTTGAAGTAAAATAATTGGGCTGAAGTGTTTTGTTTCACCACTAAATAGTCATGTGACCATCTACTTAATGGAAGTCTCAGTTTCCTCATCTGTAAAATGGGAATATGTTAGTACCCACTTTCCCTACCTTATGTTTCTCTGAGGCTCACACAAGAAAGCACTATATATACAAAAGGTAAATAAATTCTTTGTATCATATTATCCGCAGTTAGACATTTAGTGTAGCAGACAGAGGTATTCACCACTTCAGAAACAGGGTCCTGTTCAGCCTGCCTGCCACACAGCTATATTTTGCCTTATAGTGCCAGAGTTTGCAAAGGGAGCCAAGAGGGAGCATCCCATGGGGCTGAAGAGGGGACCCCATGTCCTCTCTCAGTCCACCTGGAGGTTCCCCATGTCGCCCTGCCCTAGTCATGTGGGTCCCTCCCACAGGGACTTACAGCATTCCTGAACAGGCTCATCTGAGTAATCTCCACAGTCATTATCTACATCACACTTCCAGGACTGAGGAATACAGTGGCCGTTGTCACATTTAAACTGGCCTGGCTTGCAGGTCCTGCTGGCACAGTGGGATCTGTCTTCATCTGAGTTATCCCCACAGTCATCCAACGTGTCACACTGCCAGTGTTCTGGGATGCAACGTTTGTTGGCGCACTGCCATTCATTAGACTCGCACTTGTGATTCTCTGCAAGCAGGGACATTTGGTTATCATCTCGGAAGGCACCAAGAACAGACACTCTTAATTTATGCCGATGAATCCTGGAGAACTCAATTGAAATTTCTTTTTAATTAATTCCTTTTTAATAATTTCTGTCCTAACGTGCTTATTATCAACCAGTACCACTGGGGGTGGGGGGGCAATTATTCCTTTGATCGTTACTGTCTCCCAAATTCTTAAGTATCTTTTTCTTGCATTCTTACATGCAGAATTAAGGCCTAGGGACTGAATCCCCTGGGCTGTTAAATATGCCTTCTCCTGGCCCTGTTCCCCTATTGGGCATGTTTGTCAAATTTTGTGTTGATTGCTGTTATTAATGTATTGTTGTAGTTTGGAGGGTTTGGAGGGGTAAATTGCTTTTAAAAATGGAACATAAATCAGAGTCCTCACGTAAAACAGAGTGGGGAAATACATTTCGTCCCCAGTGTTGGCTCTCACAGAGGATTCAATGCCTAGCACATGGTAAAGAGCCACCAATATAGGCAACTTACTATGCGCTTCAACTATCTGTTTTCTAAAGACCTTAGGACTTTTTATTATAAAGAGTAGACACAGTGGAGGACTGTGAATTTTCTCCTTGGACTCTGAATTTATTTCTGGTTTAAGGAACTCTACCTCCCCCTACAGAATCAAGACTGTATACAATCAAGACGGACATGGGGAAAGGAGGCAGAAAGCAATTCAACACACCACAAAGAGAAGACACTTCATCAGAGCCATCAGGGCAATCTGGCCTGGCATTGCACAGGGTCTGGGGGCTGGTGCAGTTGCCATCCTTGCACTGGAACTGCCCTATTCGGCAGAAGCGCTGCGGGCAATGGGCCGATTCATCAGAGCCATCGGAGCAGTCCCGCTGTCCATCACATTTCCACCAAATAGGAATACACCTTAACAGAGAAAATACAGCACTTTCTAGTAAAGCGTGGAGGTGGGGGTGGGGAGCAGCAATGTGAGAAGAAGACTTTATAGAATTCCAAGTGATGACAAGTTCTCTATGAGCGTAGAATGGGACCAATTCAGTCTCGGTCACTGTGGTGTATTTTCAAAGAAAACAAAATTTGACGAGATAGAACAGGTTTGTTAAGATGCAAATACACGGGATGAGTGTTTTGAACTGTGCTTCTAGAAGCAATGACTGGTTAAGTGACTGCCCACCAGGGTGATATACTCCAAAACATCTAGTATTGGTTGGGAAACTAGAGGGCACTAAAATTGTTAGTATGTATGTCATGATAGGTGCATGCTGGATTCTTAAATCTCAGATATTTCATCACCACAATAATCTACCCTGCATCCTAGATGCTGTGATCTGGAGATGTCTCTCTCCATCAGTTCCCCTAGTCATCAACAGCCTATAAACACTGCTGGAGAAATAATTTGGGTCTTATCTCATAGCAAAGACAGATGATCAAATCCGGACTTGAGGGTGAGACCCTGGATCTTCTGGCACAGGTAACTAGGAAGCAAGACCAGTATAGATGTAGAAAAGACAGTGAAATTCTATCACCCCTAAGGACCATTTTTCATTACACACTTATATACATGGCCCTGACACTCAGGACAATTGATTAGAAAGAAGAAATACATAGTTCACTTCTTCCCTATGATCACCTGCATCAATGGGCATAACAGTTTGGTTAACAAATTCTTTCTATCTATGAAAAGACTTATTGGAGACTGAGAGTCTGGATGTGTTCTACATGAAGTGTATCAATTAACCCAAATCTCATTTCATTAGAAAACACCTATCCCCTGGAGCCTGGAAGTGCAATTGTCTACCCAAAGGATAAAAAGATTCTGAGGAAAAGGAAAAGAGGGCCTCACTTTTCCTCATTAGCACACAGGAACTGGGTGCTGGAGCACGCGGGAATGCAGTATGTTTCGCCGTGCCAAAACACAGTGTTGAAGTCATCCGGACACTCGCAGGTAAATCCTTTTCCCCCTTCTTTGATGAGGCATAGATGAGAACAGCCACCATTGTTGGTACCACATGGATTGTCCACTAGTGAAAAAGAAAGAAAATGTATGTATGTTTACTTGCTTAAAGAGAGTATTATTCACGGATTAGCTGATTACCCAGCTTGATATGAAACTCATCACCTCTTAGTGAAAAATAAAAATAAGTATCCTAGTTCTATGCTTTTCATATATGACTTATATGAACAACCACCTTGTGCTTTGAGAAAACTTGTTCATACACAACCAGAAGTGAAACACAGACACTGGTGTTTTTGACTAGAAAAGACACGTATCTCAAAGCCCTGGGGGAGGGAGCAGGAAGTAAACTTAGCTTACATTCATGTGCCCAGAATCTAAGTTAAAGTTTTAATCTCCAGCAGATGCTACACTCACGACCACTTTCTAAGGACACAGGTAACAGAAGTTTGGCCAACATTAACATACATGGATAAACTAAACAGCATCTTTACTCATTTTCTGGATCACCACTTGGAGGTGAAAATTAACTTGAACTTCTAATAACATGAGGAATATTAAGAAATATTTCAGGTCTTTATTTCACTAGTTCTCCTTTTTGCTTACTTCCAAATTTATGTTTTAGCAAAACATGACAACCAAACAGACCCACAAAAGCTATTTTAACCCCAAAATATACTCTAGACCTTAGCTAGATTATCTCTAAATTGTAAAATGGATTTGTTTGCATGAAGAGGAATGTAACTTCACAAACAAAAATAGATTCTCTAACCTACAAGACACAAAATGCATTGCTCTGGACATTAATATCTTCCAGAAGTCAAGAATAACCTTTATTTGATGCATAATATAATGTCACATGCAAATAGACATTTAGTAGATGTTATATAATGACTCATTCTCTTTTAAGTAGATTGATCTTGGTATATTGATTGTAGCTTGGTGCCCATAGCTTAGTCAGTGTGGCGCCAGCCATGTATACCAAGGCTAGCAGATTCAAGCCCGGCCTGGGCCAGCTAAACAACAATGACAACTGCATTCAAAAAATAGCTGGACATTGTGGCAGGCACCTGTAGTCCCAGCTACATAGGACTAGAGAGGCAAGGACTACATAGGACTACTACATAGAGGCAAGAGAATCGTTTAAGGAGAGTTTGAGGTTGCTGTGAGCTTTGATGCCATAGCACTCTACCAAGGGACATAGTGAGATTCTGTCTCAAAAAAAAAAAAAAAA